CTCTCATTCTCACTCGGTCCGGAGTCAATGGGTTATCATTCTCAACCTTCCCATTGGCACCAACTTGCACCGTTGTGTTTTGTAATTTTTTTCAGAATATTTGAGCACGAAATTCCGCCAAGAGATTTAATTTATTTCGAAATGAGTCAAAAAGAATTTCGGAATTCTGAAAATTCAAATTTTACGGAATTAACATCTAGAAATTTCAGTGTTTTTTTTCAAATCTGATTTTTCAAAATCGAAAAAAACCCGTTGATTTAAGTTCATTTCCAGCCAAATCTCGAAAAGTTTTTTTTTTCCAATTTTCTATTTTCAACCATTTTCAGCTGAATTTGCAAAATTTTCACCTATTTTTAGATAATTTCAGCCGATTTTCAACCATTTTTGATAAATTCATTCTTTCCTATTTTCTTTTTTCTTTTTACTATCTTTTTATCTGTATATCCAGATGTCCAATATTATCACAAAATTTATTTTTGTAAAACTAGAATTTTTGACAGAAAAGTGAATTTGAAGAAAAAAAACTCGCAATGTAAAAAATAAGAAAAAAATTGATTGGCACATAAAATAAAGCTAAAAGACACAGATTGTTTGAAACGGGGAGCAAATGACAATAAATCGCAAAATTCGAAAAAAATTAGACCTCCAATTTGACAATATTCTTTGGAAGAATCCCAGCTGGCAATGTCTTGAAAGCCTCCAATTTTCCCTTGAAATAGTATTCATCAACGTCTTCAACAATCAATAATTGATCGCCACGTGACACATAAAGATGTTTTGGGTCTTCTGAATGATAATCTCCAATTGCAACTGCCTTCTTCGGAGAGAACGCAGATGCGATTTCAGCGATTCCTCTTGGAGATTTTTTTGGAGATGTACCATATGGTGGACCAAGGAAATTCTTTGGCACCATTCCCTGACTTCCACGACATTCAGCAAACAGCCACTGAGAATCAACGTCTTCTAAAACTGTTATGACATCACCAGCGAATAGACGAAGATCGGAAGAGACGCCAGAATCGTAGTCATAGGATACGGTAACTGATTGTTTGGAGGATCCATTATTGATATGAATTGGCTGAGAAAATGATGTCGAGGGTGGATTTTGTTGTTTCATTGGAACTTGATAAAGGTTTGGGCAGTCGACAAATTGAACTGGAAAGATTCCAGAACGTCCGAAACATTCTCCTTCGAGCCACTCCTCATTTACACGGGCGGTTACGGTGATTTGGGTTCCAGCGGTGAACTGAAAATATTCAGAATTTTAGAATTTCAGAAACTTAGAATTTCCGATTCTGAGAATCAGAATTTTCGAATTTTTGAAATTTTGAAGTTCCAAATTAATTTTCAGAATTTCAAAATTTCAGAACTTCAGAATTTCGGAAGTTCGAATGTTCGGAATTTAAGAATCACAGAATTTCAGAATCTTAGGATCTCTGAATCTCTGAATCACAGAATTTCAGAATCTTAGGATCTCTGAATCTCATAATCTCAGAACCTCAGAATCTCAGAATCTCAGAATCTCAGAATCTCAGAATCTCAGAATCTCAGAATCTCAGAATCTCAGAACCTCAGAATCTCAGAATCTCAGAATCTCAGAATCTCAGAATCTCAGAATCTCAGAATCTCAGAATCTCAGAATCTCAGAATCTCAGAATCTCAGAATCTCAGAATCTCAGAATCTCAGAATCTTTGAATCTCAAAAGAATCCAAGAATCAGAAGAATCTCAGAAATTCAGAATTTCAGAATTCCGAATTTCTGAACTTTCAAAACTCATTAACTCAGAATCTCAGAATTTCGGAATTTCAGAATCTCAAGAATTCAGAATTTCAGAATAATGAACTTCTTACTGTCAAAACTCATAAATTCAGAATCTCAGAATTTCAGAATTCCTGAACTTTCAAAAATCATAAATTCTGAATCACAGAATTTTAAAATTTCAGAATTTCAAATTGTCAGGAATTCAGAATCTCAACATTTCAAAACTTCTGAAATTCAGAATTTTAGAATTCGAAAATTTCAGAATTTCAGAATCGCAGAATTTCAGGATCTCAAATTCTTTAAGAAACTCACATTCAAATCTCCATATTCCGTAGAATTATAATCATAAATTGCCGTTGCATTCGTTCCAGAAGACGTTGATCCAGATGGAGCAGCAGGTCTAGGAGGCGGAGCCGAAAACGCTTCTTTCAATGGAATTTTGATATCCAAATATGAAGATGGAACGATTCCATACGTACGAGAATTCTGGTTTTCTCCTGAAAAACACACCTTTTCAGAAACAGATTAATGTAGGAGTACTGTACCATAGAACCATTCTGCATCCACTTTTTTCGACAAAAGTACAGTATCCCCAACGCGAAGAGCCATTTCATCCGATTGCGTTGGTTGATAATCGAATTTTGCAATAGCATGAGGAGTACTGATGACTGGATTCGAGAAGCTTGGAGTCGTTGTTTTGGTGTGACGTGGTACTGGTGGAGGCGGAGGAGCTGATGATGTGGCAGAAGTGTATGAGGATTGATAGGAAGATGATGACGTGGCATTGGATTGGTAGGATGGAGATGTGGATGAAGGTGTGATGACGTCTGGAAATTTGGAAGGTTTTCTGTGTGTAAAAATTCAAAATTTCAATAATTTTCAGTTAAAAATAGAACGCTCTGGAGTCCTAAACAGGAGTTCAGAATTCTTCAACTTGCCGAAAAAATTCAGATTATACAAAACAAAATTAGAGTTTCAGTTTTGTTATTGACAACTTTTTTGCAAAATTCCACTCTGATGAGGTTACTGGAATGAGAGTTACCGCAAGTACTCTAATAGAATGCTCTCAATCTGTCAAGTTTGAGCTCAATTATCTCAGTTTCAGTAAGAGATATAAAAAACAAGTCAACTGACAAAATACTTCTGATATTATGATAAACAGTTTATCAGTTGACAATTTTTTCATATCGTTGACAGGAATCGAGATAATTGAGATCTAACGGTTGGGAATTCTAGTAGAGGAAATACGGAAAATGACTTATCAAGGTTTTTGAAAAAGGCAACCAAGACTAAAACAACAAAAACTCACTACTTGTGGAACCACCCAAATGAAGATTTTCCAATTGTGATCGAATCGCCGAATGAGCACCGGATAGTTTTCCAGGAGCAGCACCTCCAGATGCTCCAGATCTATGTGCAGGTGGTGGTGGTGGATTGTTCCGATTGGCGTCTGCTACTGCAAAAGCAGCAGAAATCTTATTTCCACCTGATGGATCCTTGACTGCATTCAACACAGCACCACGTGCTTTCTCATCTTGGGCAACATTTTTTGCCGTTTGTCTGACGAATGGATTCTTGGCTGCTGCAACTGCAGCGTTCCGGACTTCTGGCTTTTTGGCTGCTTCGAAGAGAGCTTTTGCTGCCGAAACGGAGAATGAACTTGTGTCTGGAAATCGGGAACGTTGTAGGATGTTTTTGAATTGTGGAATCGATTCTAATTCTAAACGTTTAGATCCTAAAACTCTGATTTCTATAGAATGCTCTAGAGAATTCCTAAATTTTGGAACCGCCAAATTTATGAATTATCAGGAAACTCCACAGAATGCATTATCTAGGATTTGTGAATTTCTATTTATCAAAAATTGAACTTTTCAGAAAAAATCTAAAAATTAGAATCCAAAGCTAGGAATCTAAATTTGATGATTCTTAACTTTTCGAGTTTGAAATTCTAGTCTTAAAAATTCGGAATTAGATTCTAAGTTTCGTTCAAGTTTTTTTTTCGAAAACTGAGCAATTTTTCCTTTGGAACATTTTTTTGTCCTATTGAATTCTCACCTTTTGACATTACTCCAGACTATATTTATATTCAAATTTTCATGGGAAAAAATTTTTTCTGAATAAAAAAAGAATAATATGTGGAAAACCAAAAAGGACGAAAGAAAAAAAGCCGAAAAGGAATGGGATCGATGGGAAAAAAAAGGGAAAAAAGGAAAGGAGGCGACGAGAGTGTGGGGAAGGGAGAGACGCAGACAGAGAAATGAAAAAGTGTTTGATGAGAGAATCAGAGAATTAGAGATAAAGAAAGGCACAGACGAAAGAAGAAGTGTATTGTGACAACACTCCTGGACACACATTTCGGCATTTCGACAGAGAAATGACGCGTCATTTTTTTGTAAGAATGAGTCAGCAAGTGTCTCTTTTATCAGGCGAAACGAGGAATCGAGGATGAAAAATTGGGAAGAAGAAATGGAATTCTTTTCTGGGTTACAGTAGAAATTTTCGGTTTCAAGATCATCAATATTCTTTATTCCAGACAAAAAATTTCCTCGGAATTTTTCAAAAACTGAACTGAATTCATTTGTTAAAACAGAGCAAGTCCATTTTCTGATCTGGTGGCCTAGCATTTCAATTTTTGAATTTCCTAGGTTATCAAAACTCATAATTTTTGTAAACCATAAGAAACATGAGAATTCTCAATTCATGTTGCTGGTTCTCAATGATGAAAATAATCTTGAACAACAATCACTGAAGAATGAGTCACTGGAAATTTGATGGTTGCCTAGAACTACAAATCTAGGCCGCAAAATGAATTACAGTTTTTTTTCTCGAAAACTCTAGAATTGTTTAAAAAAATATTTTTTCTGAGTTTTTCTCAGATTTTGGGATTTAGGATGTTTAGAATTTCTGATGTTCAAAATTTTCAAAATTTTTATTTTTCATTTTTTACAAAATTCGGGGTTTGTGAATTTCGAAATTTGAGAATTCCCGATTTTCATAAATTTTTGATCCTCTGAATTCCGAAACTCTGAACTTTTGATTTCCAATTTCTGAAAATTCTAACTTTCAGAATTCTGTATTTTCCGAGTTTTCAAAATTTTGATTTTTTGGTTTTTGAATCTTTGAATCACCGAATTTTTAACTTCAGAAACTTTTCGGATTTTTAAAAAATAATTTCAGAATTTCAGAATTCTTGAATTTAGAAATTTCAAACTAAACTGAAAATCACAATTTTTCAGATTTTCGAGTTTCAGGACATGGTTTTTTGGAATCTTTAAATTTCTCTATATTTCTGAAAGTCGAAAGTTTCAGATTCCAATATTTTGGTTTTCTATTTTTTCTTGTTTTTATTTGAATTTCATAACTCCAGATTCTCCTAGTTTTCGATTTTCTGAAATTCCAAAATTTTGAATTATTTTCCATGTTTTTAAGTTTCAGAATATAATTTAAATATTCTCAGTTATTTTAGATAGCTCAGTTAGTTTGGAATTTCTGAAAATCCTAATTTTCAGAAACTTCTGAATTATGAAATTTTGAAATTCTGATTTCCAGTCATTTCAGAATTCTAAATTTTTGACTTTCTAGAATTTTAAAACACAACGTTTTGATAAACCCACCAATATTTTCATTATGTCCATTATTATTCGAATTGGATGTAATTCCAGATGGTTTCGGAGGTGGAACGGGCGGTTTGGGTCTCATCATTTTTCTTTGAAAAAGCTAAAAGAAACTGTTTCTCTCTACTTTAGAAAAATGGAGAGAAGTGGATCTCTATTATTTGCCCATCTTTTCCCCTATATTTACTCTCTTTTTTTTGTTCGTTTTGGTTACAATTTTTAGGTGACTACAAGGAGATTTTTGTAGTCTGAAAAGTTCCAAAAAATTGTGAGAAAAGAGAAAACTAAATCAAATTTACTACATGAAATGTCAAGAATGCAATAGACAGCGAAAAAAGAAAAAAAAGGCGAAACTTGGGAAACAACCGAGTCAAAATATACACAGAAAACACACGGATCATGGAAGAAGAAGAAGAAATTCACAAAAAAAAAGAACAACAGAGAATTCGAAAATTGATGGCTCCAGAAAATTTTGAATAGAAGAAAATGTACCCATTTGTTGTTTGGCTAGAATAGTCGTCGAGTTGGTCGAAATGTACAGCAATCTGGAAAAAATAGGGATTACTGTAGAAAAGAGGGCGGAGTTTGGGGATTTAGGAGCCTTAGAATCTCACAATTTCGGAATCTCAAAATTCAAAATACTGAGAATCTGAAAAAAAAACAATTTTTTGAAATTTTTTTAAAATATTAGGTAGATTTTTTAAGTTTCGGGAATAGAGTGGCCTAACTTTCTTAACGTAATTTTTCTAGATCACCATTGTAAATGACCTGAAAATGGTCTGATATTTAAAAAATCGAAAAATCACGTTTCGTTTATGTCTGGAAACTTCTGGAATGTTCTTGAATCTTTTTTGAATTCCTGCCAAAACTGAAAACTCCGGTAAATTGACGACTTTTTCCATACTTGTAACGACCCGGCCCGGCCCGGCGGGCCCGTCATTTCACTAGTTTCGAAATTTTCAAAAAACCCACAAAAGGGGGGACCCTTATGTGATTTTTTTCGACCAAAAAATTTTTTTCGAGTTTTTCGATTTTTTTTGATCAGACAGACAACAATCCGAAATACGAAAAAAAAATGGAAAAAAATTATATTGAGAGCTCAAAATTTGGCTCAAAAATACAGAATTTTTGACACCGGGCCTTCCGGGGGCCCGGGCCTTGAAAATTTCCTCAGGCCGGCCCGGAATTTTACGAGAAAAAATGCGTTTTTTTCTTTTATTTTTTGCAAAATTTTTTGATCTTGCTAAGTTTTTCAGCTATTTTTGATAATTTTTTTTTCGATTTTCCGGTTGACAAGAAGCGATTTTTCAAGATTTTGCCACTTCAGAATCTCGTAATTCCCAAAAATCCTTTTTCAAAACCCACAATAATTTAGAGAAGACTAATAGTCTCCTGAACAATCTGATCCTCAATCATAATCTCATTCTGAGCCTGCGAACGTGTCGGTCGACGTCTTCGTTGGCGAGAATAGACGACGAAGACGAAATAGAGGAAGACGATGACAAAAATCGAGAATCCGACACGATCGAAGACGTCCGGGAAGTAGTACAAGAAGATGCTGACAGCAATCATTTGGCCTGGAATAATGGGAATTTTTTGAATGACTTAGAACCCCCAATTCTTCGAAATCTAGTCCCACAGATTCCAAAACTGACCTCCAAATATATAAAACAGCGTGGACGTCTGTAAATGCGTTTGCTGCACTTCTTCCCTCTGCTGCTCCTGCTCTTCATTTTCTTGCTCTAACAGCCCATTGTCAACCAACAAATTGCATACCCATTGACTGATAGTTAGAAGTGTAGCAGGTCGAAGAAGATCTCTAATCCGATCTGGACGAAAAAATGCGAGTCCGATCCCCGAGAGAATCGGAACCATTGTGGACAAAAGTAGATAAATTTGCCCAACATTTCTGTCTTGTGCAGCCCGATTTCTTGCCAATTGCTCTTGAATCGCTCGATCCAACGCATTCTGGATTCCTTGTGGAGGAATGGGAGTTGGATCTCGAAGCGTTCTTTGGGATCTTCTGATCCTCCGACGGGGCTCCGAATCGTGTACAATCGGTGTCATGTTGGCTACTCCGGGTCGTGAAAGAGGGATTATACTTATATGACAATGCATCACACTTCCTGCTTGAAGACCATAGGATTCTAGTGTCCGGCTGTCTTCTCTTAAAAGTTGTCCTTGAAATATCAAACGGATAACCTTATTAGAGAGATCTGTGAAATGTTCCACTTTGAATTTTGCTACAGTATCCTGAAGAGATGCGTATGTATCCTTTTCTGTGTCACTTAGAAACTTCAATCGAATCAAAATCTTCCCTTCTGATGGACCTTCCAATACTGACATCTCTGCGTCTCGCTCTGCTTTTCTCTCTCGTTCTTCTTCTGTTTCTTCTATGGGGGCATTTACAGCCAGTCCAGAATCATCAGCATCTTCCACTTCTTCTTCTTCCACCTCTTCTTCTTCGTCCATTCCGTTTTCTGATGATGTTTCCATGTCGTCTATCACCACGATTTCTGGCTCCAGATTGTCGTTATGGGCTTCTCGAGGTGCCGTCACGTTTGAAGTCGTTGTGGAGATTTGGTGACGAAGGTCGGGGTTGATGGCTGGAAAATAGAGGTAAATCTATATTTTTTGAATTTCAGACTTTTTTAAATAACAAATTTTTAATTTGAAATTTTCAGAAATTTATATAATCGTTTAATTGTTTCGGGATCTTCTGTGACCACTATAAGCACTCAAATTTTTTGAATTTGGCGTCATTTTTCGGATGACTTAGTTAAAGCAGAAAAAGAGTTTCAGCAGTGGAAAAATTTTGAAAATTTCAATTTTGATTTTTTGAAATTTTTTTTTTCTTTTTTTTCAGAATATTTTGTTTTTCGTTTAAAAATATGGGCTTATTCTGAAACGCCTTTTTCGCTTCAACTGGGTTATCCGAAAAATAGCGCCAAATTCAAATTCTTTTAAAAGAAAAAATTCCAAACTCACACGGCGTCGTATAAGTCACATCAGTGGTGACATAATCATGCCTCGGCTGAAAAAATTTCTATAAAAAAATAAATTTTTAATTTTCTCACATTCATACGCTCCTCCAACGTCGGCGCGATCCCAGCATCCCCTCTAGTCATCCTCTCCTGATTTCTGAACACTCGAGACATCAGAGAGGCGTCATCTCTGAAAAACTATGTTTTTTAGAGTTTCCTTCTTTTTTTCAGGTTACCCTCTTGCTAAAATAGCGATTGCTGCTGCTGCAGCATACTGACTGTCCCTAGTAGCATCTGGCACGTGACCAGCACTTGGTGGCGGCATTTCGATATCCCATAATGTGATTAGGTCGACATCTGGGGACCTAAAAATCTTTTGAAATACTTTTTTGTCTACATAAATGTGTTTTTTCTACCTCGCAGGTGCTGGAGAATCAATTACAGTATTCGGAGACTGTATCACTATATTTGTGTCAGAAATCGCGATTCGGTTCTCTCCTTGAATACGTGGAGCTCTTGCACGCATCCGTTGTACTAAACGATCCCATGTGACGGGCGGTGTGAACTCCTGACCCAAATGTAACACCTAAAAGCTAGCAAATGAAGATGTGCGGCACGTGGCAAGTACAGTACCTGAACCATTCTGCGCGACGTCCATGTGTGCATTTCGACGACGAATAAATTATAGTATAAAGGTCTTCGAGACGAAATTTGATATGATATAAAACCGCATACTATTAAAACTACTACGGCGAATATTGTGGTTGACTGGAAAATTATAGTTTAGCAATTAAATAAGACTTATTAAACAATTACCTCTACATATTCGATTAATGTGGCTAGGATGAGTGTGGACATTTTTGGCGATGAAAAAACTGGAAAAATAATGTACAAAGCGGGGTGTGTAGAATATTATTGAATCAGATGCTTCTTTTTCGAGACGGAAAAGAAGCGAGAGAGTACGAATGACGTTCCCAGGAGGCAAGAGACGCAGACAATCGATTCGAGGAAACACGGTGTAGGCGCGCTAATCGACGGCAAATTGCACTGCTTTTCGGGTGGGGAGAAATTGGGAAAACAAGGCTAATTTTTCCAAGAACATAAATTATTTATTAATTTGTCACAGGAAAAGGTTGGGATCCCAATTGGGAGCTCGTTTAGAAGAGATAGAAAAGAGACCGATCGAGGAAATGAGAAGACTTGAAAGTTTTTTGTGCAATTTTTAAAAATGATATAGGAGATAAGGAGAAAGGCTTTCCTCCGTTTCACAGTTATTCTCTGGAAATTTTCAGCTGAAAAAATGTTTTCTGATAATCCGAAAAAAAACTCGACAGTAATCATCGTGCTAGTAACCTCAAACCTAATTCAAAAAGCTCCTTTAATATTACCGTACTCTTTCGAACTTTTTTGCGAGAAAGCAATTTTTCACCTGACTTTATCAGTTTTGCTCAAGCTATTTGTGACTTCGTAACTTCTAGTTGTTTATCAGACATGTTGATAGTTTTAAAAAATGCCACATCAACAAACTGATCAAAAAACAACACTTTAAAATTTCGTTGCGAAGCTACGAACGAGATTTTTGTTTGCCTCCCTTCAATTTTCTACAGTAACCCAAAACTATTTTCTTGATTCTGCTTCTTCTTCTGTTTTTCGTTTGTTTATTTTTCATAAATAAAATGTTGCGATCTAATTGTATTTTCAGTATAATTTGTATTTCCGTTCCAAAACATAATTTTTAACCAAGGAAATTCATAAATATCATGTAAAACTACACATTTTATCATTCGTTTCGAAGCTCAAATTATAAATTCCCTCCCTGTCCCTTTAATACGGTACTTCCGTTTTTGCGAGGGAAATCGAATTATTTGAACATTTTCAGCGTTTTTATTCCGATTTTCAGCTTTTCCCGATGTTTCTTCACTAATCACGTGGTTCTATTTTCTCGAAGACGTCATCAAACAGACACAATTGCTTATCTTGTAGCCTACATAGAAGAGAAGAAGGTACAAAGTCCAAAGGACACACGGGCGGTCCGATAAATTGAGGCCAGCCAGGCAGTGTTCTCGGTGTACTCTCACTTATTGTCATTATTTTCCCCCCACCCATCGATTGCTTGTTGTTTTTTTTTCTTTGATCAATTAATTCTAGAAGTTAGAAAAGTGTTCGTTTCTTCTCTCTGACTCTCTAGAGCTCTCTTCTTCTCTCTTTACGTTGTTGTCTATTGATAAACGGAATAGTGTGTAACGTGAGATATTTGTACGTTTTCAACGTTTTTTTTGTCTTCCAGCCACGTTCCTAGGTTGCCAAAAGGCGGCAATTTGAATTCACTTAGCATTGATTACCCCCAATTTTGCACTTATTTCCGCTATCGGTTCAGCAAAAAAAGTTAGTTTATAAGATACTTTGTCCTTTTTTGTGGTCGCTGATAAAGATTTGATAAGAATTCCCGACCCATTTCTGGCTCTTGTCTTATTTTATAGTGTACTTTTCTTCTCCGATAACTTAGAAATTTCAAAAAAAAAATATTATTTTTCTTTCAGAAGATGCTCCGCGCAGTCAGCACATCGTTCGGTACCGCCCGTGCGGCGTCGACAGCCGCCAAGAGAAATCTGCCGAATATTGTGTTGGTGGATGCCGTGCGAACACCATTCGTCGTCTCCGGAACCGTCTTCAAAGACTTGATGGCTGTCGATTTGCAGAAGGAAGCGATTAAAGCGTTGGTTGAGAAGACGAATCTTCCATACGACAAACTGGATCATATCATCTGTGGAACAGTGATTCAGGAGTGTAAAACCAGTAACATCGCCAGAGAAGCCGCTCTCCTCGCCGGAATTCCAGATAACATCCCTGCTCACACTGTCACTCTCGCATGCATCTCATCGAACGTGGCAATTACTCAAGGAATGGGAATGTTGGCCACTGGAAATGCGAACGCTATCATCGCCGGAGGAGTCGAGTTGTTGTCTGATGTGCCAATTCGATACAATAGAAAAGCTAGAAAGGCAATGCTTGGAATGAATAAGGCTAAGGATGTCGGATCGAAGCTGAAGATTGGAGGAGAAATCGCCAAGAATCTGTTGTCTCCAGAATTGCCAGCTGTCGCTGAATTCTCGACTGGAGAGACCATGGGACACAGTGGAGATCGACTTGCCGCCGCATTCAATGTTTCCAGAAGGTAGGGAACGGAAAAAAGAGAGTTTCGGTCGGTCNAAAATCGGCGNCCGCCAACCATTCTGTGTGGTCAGCTTCGTCGCCTGGCCGGCGGTCGGTTAGTTTCGACCGACCGAAGCGGAAACCTTATTTGAAACGAATGTCGATAGTTTGGTGTTTGCAGATATTACTGTAGATCGCCGATGCCGTAATTTCTGCAAACACTATGACGTCAAAATGCAGACAAAAATCTCCAATAAGTTTGGATTAAAGTTTCCGAGATATGTAGCCGACCGAATACGTGAATTTGTGCTTCAACATGACAGAGAGTGTTTGCGTACGAAGCATTTTATTTTACGACAAATTTTTCGACTTTGTAGATCACAAAATACTGTACTCAAACTTTCTGCCGCGTTGACGCGAAAATTCACGAATTCGGTCGGCGGTCGGTCGGCGGCCGCCGATTTTTGACCGACTGAAGCGGAAGCATTATTTGAATCAACCCGAACTACAGACAAAATTCTCCAATAAATTCCCATCAACACACAAATGACCCATTTCCAGAGAACAAGACGAATTTGCCATCCGCTCGCACACCCTCGCCTCCGAAGCAGCTAAAAACGGAAAATTCACAGACATCATCCCGGTGTTCTTGGACGGAAAGAAGCCAAAAACCATCAAGGAGGACAACGGAATTCGTGTATCCACCATTGAGAAGCTCTCTACCCTGAAGCCAGCTTTCGTCAAACCACACGGAACCGTCACGGCTGCCAATGCATCCTACTTGACTGACGGAGCATCGGCTGCTCTTATCATGACTGAAGAGTACGCATTGGCTAATGGATTCAAGCCAAAGGCTTACTTGAGAGACTATTTGTATGTTGCACAGGTTGGTTTGGATTTAATTTTTGGAAGGTTCTATATATTTTGATTTTCAGGATCCAAAGGATCAACTTCTTCTCTCCCCAGCATACGTCATCCCAAAACTTCTCGACAAGGCCGGACTCGGACTCAAGGATGTGGATGTGTTTGAGATCCACGAGGCTTTTGCAGGACAGGTTCTTGCCAATTTGAATGCGATGGACAGTGACTACTTCTGCAAGGACCATATGAAGAGAGCCGGAAAGTTTGGACGTGTTCCAATGGACAAACTCAATTTGTGGGGAGGATCCCTGTCGATTGGACATCCATTTGGAGCAACTGGAGTTCGATTGGCTGCTCATTCAGCTCACAGACTGAAGGAAGAGAAGGGACAGTATGCAGTGATTGCTGCATGTGCTGCTGGAGGACATGGAGTTGGAATGCTCCTGGAGGCATATGGAAAGTAAACTCTCGATTTTCTGCTTTCTCATTTTTCTGTATTATAAATTAGTGATATTTATTCTCCTTTCATAATTTTCTTGTTTTCTCTAATTTCTTTTAAATTCAATGTGTATAGATTGTAGCGGTTGTCTTTGTGCCTTTTTTGTGCTCCGTCTCCACTCGTAATTTTACTGGTCCTTCCTTTTTTTCTAAATACATGTTTCAAAATTTTTGCCTTCTGAGAAAATACGATTTATTTTACAACGAACAGGATCAGTGGGAGTTGAAAACGTTGATGATGGTAAGACCAAAAGCAATGAGTTGGATTATGAGTGAGACAATGAATGCTGGCGGTTGGAAGTCAGCAAGAAGGCCAATGGAAAAATGGGGTGCACAAACCGTAACCCCGAGCAGTGCAAAGACCAGAAATGGTTCCTGAAAACGGGATTTTTTGTGCTGACATTTTGTGTGATACCGTACACGATATGGACGAGCCATTGATGGAAGACTCCAATCAAAGCGGACTGTAAAATATACATGTTTGCTTGCTAGACGTATATTTTTAAAAGGTTACCGTTTCTGTAGTAGTAGTCTACCAGGACAGTGGAGAGGATTTCACACAGACAGAGAAATGCACAGTAACTGAACAGGTTCCGCCAACTTGGTTCCTCTATCAAGGAATTCATGGTGGCAAGCAGACATGAGCGGAATAAAAATTTTGAAAATCCGGAATAAGGAAGAAGGAATGAAATTTAAAAATCAGGAAGAAGGAATAAGGAATAAGGAATGGAAAAAACACCCGGAATAAGGAACGAAATAATTTTCGAACGAAGGAAGATTTCTTTTTATCTTGAAAAACACTGTTTATTTTAAAACACGAACAACGAAGAGAGAACTCACAGACCGAGACACAAACAAGAAAAATGGATAGGGAACTCTCAAACTAGAATTAAAAAACCAAAAAACAAAATCATAATTGTGAATTATCAGTTTTCCAGGCCATAATTTTTCAAATTTAGTGAACGAAAAGTTAATTTGTCAACGGTGTCGTTATTCAATCGGCTTCTTTTCGGAGTACAGATGAGGCCCGATACACTCGTTTTCTGTTCTGACGAAGAATTCGTCAAACTTGCTCCGTTTTTTAGACATTTTTTCTGAAGTATTTAGTAATTGTAAAAACCAAATTTATTTCGAAAAAAACACTGAGAAAAACGCATAACTTTTACAAGATTTCAAAAAAAATTTCGAAAAACGGTGCAAAGGTGGTCCGCTGAACAAAATGTTACGCGGCAATTTAGAGCGTTCAAATTTTTTCCCAGTTTTGAGAATTTTTTTTCTGATTTATGATTAAAAAAAGTTTTAAAGTTTTGAAGAGGAATAACAAAAATAATCAGGAAGAAGGAAGAAGGAATAAGGAACAAAATTAAAAAACTCGGAAGAAGGAATAAGGAATAAGGAATGAAAAATTTAAAATCCGGAAGAAGGAATAAGGAATAAGGAATAGAAAAAACACCCGGAATAAGGAATAAGGAATTCCGCTCATGTCTGGTGGCAAGTATTCCGAGAATTTGGAAGAGGATGGTGGAGAGTCCACTTGGCGAATTGGCCATCTAAAATTTGAAACTTTGATACCGTCTGATAAAATAAACAGAAAACCTCGAAAAAAATTTTTTTGTAAACTCATCGTTGCATTTTTGATCCTTCTGAGATCTTCGTTGTTTTTTTTTCTGGTCTACATTTGTGTAGATCATATAGCAATTTTCATCCACGCATTTTGTATTTGATCTTAAGTTTTCGATTCCGAGTTTTCGAGTATATGAAGTGGACCTATAAATATGCAACGGTTTCAAAAGGCTGATTTTTTGGAAAGGGTCCATAACTCGGGTACTTTTTTAGATATCGTTCTGAAATTTGGCAGACATATGTAATTGTGGACCCTGAATCTGATGTTTTTTTTGATACCCAATATGTCAAAAAATAAGGTGGACCTATAAACTTGCAACGCACTGTATATGGAATTGGAGTTTCAAACGGTGGAATTGCAAAAACATGGTCTTCTGAAAAATTTGGAAATTTCGATGTTTTCGATTTCTGAGAGATTACCGTTATCACTCTAATGGAACGCCGCCTGAACAGTTAACTTTGCGGCTCATTTACTTCAATTGATACCGAAAAGTGATCAACTGACAAAATGTTAGTCAAGTTATAACAATCAATTTATCAGTTATCCACTTTTTGATATCTTCCTTGGAAGTTTATGATTTGGGTGGCGTTCTATTATAAGAGTGTTTATGGAATGTGTTCTGATATGTTTGGATTCTTGTTCTGAGATTCCAATTTGTTAAATTTAGAAAAATACATATGTCCAAACGATTTGGAGGAAACGTCGACATTTCGATGAGGGACACTGCCATCTACTGAAAGTTTAATATGTTTAAAACAGCATTGAAAAACGCATTTTTATTTACAAAAATGATCATGAAGTGAGAAGTCAATTGATTTGTTGATAAATGAATTCATTGAACAGAAAACATTAAAATGGAAATTGTTTATCTTCTGAAATTTCGTTCATATTTGAAGAATCTCCAGAAGACCCCTGGAAGTATGATAGTGAAAAAGTAAATTGCAACGTCAGTAAGCATTTTCTTCAAGTTTTTATTGGTTCGGGTCGAGACCTATGTCATTCGAAAGCTGAGAACACGATCTTTCCGAATCTGTTTTCCTTTGGATCGCGTGAACACTAAATACTTAAATACAATTGAAACAATAGAAAATGTCGTTTGAATGGCTCAGTGGTCTACATTTAAAACTTATTTTTCTCGAAACTGGTAGGTCCGCAGCAAAAACAAAAAAACAGATTAGGAAAGGACGTGTCCTCAGCTTTCGAATGATATAGGCCTCGACCGGAAACTCCAACCTAAGTTCACAACCTTCCCTAGTAAATTCAAAAAAAAGAATCTACTTTTGTTTGTTACACTTCAATTCAGTTTTATTCTTTAGTCTTATAAGTTTATAAAATACAAGAAGCTCGATTATAAAAAGAACCCAATAAAACAGAAGATTATCCACAGCATCCCTGAACACGTGGATCCTTTCCAGATCGTTTCGTAATCTGAAGTTTAACGAATTCTTCCGACGAGCACGGATGAATGGCAACAGTGAGTTGAAGATCGGAAATTGAGATTCCGACACGGAACGCCACAGCATATCCCTGCATAACCTCGGCAGCATTGGGTCCAACGAAATGGAGTCCAACCACTTTTTGTGTGTCATCTCTCAAACAAATCGCTTTGACGTAGCAGTAGGCTTTATCTTCGTTTTGTGGAACAATGTATTCGAATGGAGTGTAATGCGAATGATACACTTCAATTCCATCTTCTCCGTATTTCTTCTTAGCTTCTTCTTCAGTTAATCCAACTGTAGACAGCTCTAACGGAGTGAATACGGTAGTGGCGATTCCATCGAAACAAACGGTCTGTTTGGATCCAGCAAAGAGACGCTCGGCCAGAAGACGTCCAGATTGGATGGCAAGTGGTGTTAATTCCAACCGACCCTAAAGATTTCGATTAAAAGTGGGCGGGGCTTTCAATACTGTACCTCTACAATATCGCCAACGGCAAAGATACCTTCAACTGAAGTTTTATCATACTCATCAGCCAGAATCTTCCCACTTTTGGAACTTCTCTCAACTCCAGCATAATCCAACTTTAATTTATCCATCCTTGGTTCTCTTCCAGCCGCCCAGATTAATGTATCATACTCTCCAACACCGCCATTCTCTGTGAAATACACCTTCTTCTTCCCGTCTCCAACCTCCTCCACTTTTGCCACTTCCACGCCTTCTTTCACTTTAACTCCTGTCGATTTCAATTGTCCCATAACAAAATTCACACAATCCTTATCGAATTCCTTCAATGGTCTTGACCTAATTAAAACTTCAACGTCCTGATTGATTCCAGTCAGAAATCCGGCACATTCCAATGCCACGTATCCAGCACCTACTACTAGAACCTTTCCAGGTGGCTTTGAAAGTGTGAAGAGATCGTCAGAAGTGATTCCAAGCAGAGCTCCAGGAACATCGGGATAACGTGGACGGAGACCAGTGGCAAGGATGATGTTTGGAGCAGAGAGGAGAGTCTGGAAAAGAAGGGATGGTCTAGAAAACCAAAGATAGGCCACCTGTGTTTTCTTTTTATCAGCAGTGGTAACGAGAACGTTTCCTCCTTCGACGAACTCGGCAAACGCATTGTAGTACTTGATTCCCCTAGAAAATAACTTGTTTTGCAAGGTTTTCCAATAATTGGTTTTCTAATAGCTTACATATCTCTCAACTGGACCTTATAAACCCAATTGTTTCCTTTAATTCTATCATGGACCACTTTAGTGAGTGTACTCCAATCATGACTAAGTTTCGATTGATCCAACCCTTTCCAACCGTATGTTTCCGCGGTTTTTAGCTGAAAAATGGTACTAGAAGATTGTGTCTCGTGTCAACACTGACCTCTTTCCCAACAATCGCCGCCTGATGCATGAGTTTCTTTGGAATACACCCAACATTGGCACATGTGCCTCCGATTCCCCATGAATATCCGTTGGGTGTTGGTTCGACTGCATCAACTAATGCCACTTTTGCTCCAAGCTCAGCGGCCCTTTTAGAGCATGACAGTCCTCCTGATCCACCTCCAATCACGATCATATCGTATTGAATTGCGGTTGATAGAAGACGGGCGGTCGGTTGTTTAGCTTGGAGTAGCATCTGAATGGATTATTTGGGAATATTTTAGAGGAAAAATGGGTCAGATACTCAAGAGGAATTACTCCATTAAGTTCTTAAAAAATATATTTAAAATGATAATTTTTATTAAGAATCTTAATTTAACATTGATTATGAATTAGTTCAATTGTGAAAATTAGGGGTGCTGTAGATTGTAGTGAGATTTGATTAATGGTCACTTCATTCGACGTGCTGATCAGTTTTCCGAAGGCAAGGGGTAGATTAGCTGAAAGTTCTAGATACTGACAGTAGGGGAAAATGGGAACTTTCAGGTTTTTTTTAGTCATGGGGTTAAGGAATATTGTGGTCAGCATTGGCGTTTTCCGGATTTTCAAGCCTCTCGGAACGAAAACTACCGTAACCCAAAAGAATATTTTTTCGATTTACTGGATTTCTATTTTTGTTCTGGCAACTTCATGAAGTTTATTTTTACAAAAAAAAAAGAAGAAAAAAAATCTGAAATATAATTTTTCTTTTTGGTTACGGTATTTTTCAGAATATGTGTCATAGAGCGCACTTTGCACACTCTATTTTTCAAAATTCGCACCCATTTCATATTTCAATCCTTTCGACGTAACAATCGTCTCTTTCTGTGTTATCGGAATCACTCCACACATTTTCGACGTCTTCTCCAATTCCACGTGGATTTCAGATGTGCCTTGTGGAAGCGCTAAAACCATATTGTAGGCGTCGACGACTATTATTGGAGTCATTGCTTTTAGAAAATGAATCAACGTGGATAACGTCGACATTGTGTGATCGAATCGGCCATTGAGTCCACCCAGCACCAGAATTCCTTCGAATTTCCACTGAATTTTTATTTTCGACAACTTTAAAGTTTAGAATTTTCTAGCCTGATTTTCAGATAACTGCTCCAAACACCACTGTATCGTTTTCGTGAGATCCGTGTGGTCTTGATCGGGTAGATGGAGTAGCCTGAAAATAATCAATGACAGCCTAGAAGCAAGTTCGGCCACCCACTTTGCATTTCTAGTGTCTATTCCAGCTTCCATGGAGTCGAAGTCTCCACAGATGACGTGTGGCCATTCGACGGATTCTTTTCTGGAATTTTTCCAGTCGATTTTTCAAAATATCAGTTCTTTAATCGCGCTCTATTGAGACTTCACGGTGAGTTTTTCACTACCGGAATGCGAAACAGTCTGCGACGTTTTAAAGTACAATGGACAAAAAAATCTGATTCATTTTTTTACTATATATTCTTCATGAAATTTACTAAAAATCTATGGAAAAAAAAATCAAATTCTATGGACTAGAATTCGAGAAAAAAATTCCAAAGTTAAAAGCAGCGCGCTGCAGCGGTAGTGAAAAACTCACCGTGAGACTTTGTTTCGATGGAGCGCAATTGTATTCTCAAATATTTCAAATTGAGGTTCCTCAAATTCCGAGGAAAAAATCCTCAGGAAAAGCGGACGAAGCTCAAATTGCATATAGTTGTTTTAACACATTTGCATACGGTCATGAAAAAAACGTTTGCAATTTAAGCCCCTCCCAAAGTTCGGTTCGCAATCGCGGTCTTTGTCTCTTCAATGGAGCACGCATGCACTCTCAATTATTTCAAAGTCTTGCTGCCACGTGGCAATTCTCCCTAACCTCTTCAGAATCGCATTAATCGCTCCATCAGTTGCCACTCGATATTTTGCAGAATTCCACAGATTTTCAGCCCGTTTCCCAATTGCCGTCGGCTCACCGTTCAACCAAATACACACCGATGTGCTCATTTTTGTGAAAATTTCGAATGGTTTTGTTATTGTTCGTTGCATTTGTTTTTGGTTTGGCTAAAATTCTTTTTCTTTTTCTAATACCACATCTAATTTTTGGTATTACCATTCAGAATTTCACTGGTAACTTTTTAGACATAGATTTTTCTACAACTTATTTATTCAACGGTTAGTGGTGGCCACAATTAAAGACAATCGACAATCGAAAAATCGAGAAGGAAAGAAAAAAGGAATCGAGTGAAAGAGGATAATTTACTACTGAAGAAAGGATTAGAAATTTGGCAATAGAAAGGTTGAAGCCGAGAGGAAAGAATAAATTAAAATTATAGTAGCAATACATAAAAATAAATCATCATCATCACAATACGAATGTTTCTATAGATTAGAATGGAACATGACTGGAAAGAAAGAGAGAGAAATAGACGGACACAAGAGAAAAAAAAAGAAAAATGCTTCTGATTTTTTTGTTGTTGTTGTTGAAAAACAAGAAAGTCACCGAAGAAGGGGGAAAAGAGATGGCGGAATGGGAAAAAGGGGAGGAGCTCTATGCACAAACACAAAAATAGACATAAAAAAGAGAGGACACAACACGACACTAAACATAGTTCAGGTGATAGAAGAAATTAAACTAAAACGGGAAAGAGAGAAGAATTTGAATTTGTCGAATGTCGATGTCATGAAGATCCTCTCTTAAAGATTCTCTTCGGCTTCTCGTTCTTCGGCCAAAATCCTTTCGAACGAGAATGGAGCGAATTCGTATCCGAGACCTCCGTAGAACTTGGATTGGAATTCGACCCTGGAAAATCAAATTTTTAGGATTACAGTAACTACAGTAGTTTTTTTTGCTTGCCAATGAAGACGAAGAGCGTGAAGGAACGCTGAGAGACCTTCCATAAGAACCAAGATGAACACCGAAAGCGATCCAAATATGAAGAACAGAATATACGTGGCTACAGCTCCTGCGTAGCCATCCAACACAAATGCATTACGGAATACCATCGTCCAGAGAACATCCGAAAGTTGAGCGTGAGCCAACGAGAGAGCCCACAAACGAAGGTACGAGGCAGTGTGAGAAACACATCCAAGAACGAATTCAATGGTGTGAATCGCCTGATAAACCATCACATCTCCCATTTCCAATGGTCCATCTCCGTGTCCGTGTCCATGTCCGGCGGGTTTTGGCGTCTGTTCTGGAGCGTGAACCACTTCGGCGTCATCTTGAGCAATATCAGCGCGGACGCTCTGGAAATTCTGTTATTTTTGAGATTAATTAAGAGGTGGAGAAGAAAAAAACGAAATAGTGCAAAAATCCATTAAGAAGTGAAATCATGCAACACCACCATTCCCAATAGTGATACCTGACTCGTTGACGCTCCTCCTCCACTTCCTCCAAGGGTACTGTATCTCGTCTGTTTCTTTTCCCGTTGATATAAAAGCCATGGTTTGGCGAATAACATAATAGGCACTTGGACGAGTGCCAAAATCACGAGTACGATTTCAATTGTAGCCTGGAATCATTGGTGTGGGTCGGCTGGCTCCAGAATCCAGAATCCAAAATCAAGATGACGTGTGGCCGGAGAGGTTTAAAGAAGAAGATGTTACACTGACGATACGATAAAAAAAACATGCGCAATAATAATCAGAACCTTTACCAGTGTTAGGCCCAATGGGGATTCTAGGGATCCGAAATGAATCAAAAATCACCAAACGACTACTCAAATTCACAGGGACGACACAACATGTATAAATATTAAAATTAAAGGGACAAAACGATTCAAAAACGGTGCGGGGGCGTGCTCTCTCGCCTATCAAATATCTCACCAATTGTCGATGACCCCCCTCGCGCCGTTCTTTTTCCTCTTTCCACAAGTAATACGGTTTGGCGAAGAGCATAACGGGAACGCACGCGATCGCGACCAGGACGAAAATCGTTTCGAAGAAGGACTAAAGTTTGGGATAATTGATTGATTTTAAAGAAAGTATTCGTCAGTGTTCATCGTCTTCTCTAACACCTTCCACGTCATCTGAACTTTGAATCAATTATTAATCTCTTACCTGCCCTGGATACCAGGTGCTCAGCCAACACTGCGGAACGATGTTTCCTTCTTCATCCACGAATCCAGCATTGCGACTTTTCATCATGAACATATTGATAAGTCCGATAAGAAGAGATGGAGCACAGTTGGTTCCGGGATAAGTGTATCCTAGTACCGATCCAGGAGCCGATCCGAAGAACAACCATTTGGCGAGAATTTGAATGCATAAATAGATGAAAATCGAGGAGAGGAAGATCATTTGTGGGATGAACATGTATTTGACATCCAAATCCGATTTGAAATATGTGAAATTTTTATACGAAAGCAACACTCCGAATGTCATTTGAGCGATTCCGAAGAGCACAGACATTTTCATTTTCATCGAGTTCAAGAAAGAGAGCTTGTTTCCTTCCGCAAGATTCCAGACTGGATCCACTCCAATTGGATACGGATTTCCATCGTAAGCCAACTCGGGAACCAACATCCATTGAGCTTCTGATGCCTTTTCTCCTTTTTCCAATACATCATCAATATATTCATGACGGATTGAATTGGTCCAGGACGATCCAAAAGCGTTGACACTTTTCGAGAAGATGTCATTGTACATGAATCCAGTGTAAATCGAAAAGACACCCATCAAGAAGATGACATATCTTCCTCCGAAGAACGTCTGGAAGATCTCATCCTTAATCCGTGCGGCCTCCAATTGTTTCTCTTTGAGAATAAAGAACAACGCGGCAAGGAACATGATCACTCCATGTCCCATATCACCAAACATAACGGCGAATAGGAATGGGAATGAGATCATTGTGTATGGAGATGGATTGATCTCACGATATGTGGCAATTCCGTAAGCATCTACAATGTTCTGGAATCCTTTTGTGAATTTGTTGGTTTTATTATAAGTGGGCGGAGCTTCGTGAGTTTCCATGCGATTCAAAATCGATGGAACTTGAGATCCACTCTCATCAGTTCCTCTCTTCAATGCCATCTTGATTCGATCCAGCTCGGCAATCGGGCACCACACCTCGGCGATCAGACATTTTTGTGTGACGTCGATGTTGAAAAAATTGAGAGTATGGTAGATGGATTTGATCTTTCGGACCTTCGTCAGCCACATTCTAACGTTCTTTGAAGCAGCGACGAGAACACGATGACGATGATCTTGGGTCTGGCCGAGGACGGTTTTAAGATCCTCAATACGGGTCATCACACCAATCGACATCTCTCGACGCTCTTGTGGAGTATCTGGGCATGGGTAGAGGGTGGCACGGAATCTGAAATACTTTTGATATAGCAAATCGATTCTAGATCCCTACTCACCCTTCACAAATCTTCTTGACTTTAGTTTTCAATTGATCTCCCTGGAAGAAGATGATGAAGACACATTTATTAACTGGATCTCCAGTAACGGTGTCGTTGAGCACATCGTCGATTTCACTGGTTCGAAGGAACACATTTCCACGGCACGCTCTCCAAAGAAGACGTTCGAATGCAGGAAGACGTTCACGCTGAATCACACCAGCGACAAATCTGAAACGGGAATATTTTTGGTGAGAATTGGGATTCGGGAACGAAAAAACTGAAAAAGCCAGGACGACGCGCTTTGAAAAAAGAACAAAAGAGCTATAGAGCATCACCACCATCATCACACAAAAAAGGGGGACAAGAAGAAGACAATAAGGATCCTACCGTAATTGAAGCTTCAATGGTGACATAGCATCGCTGAATCTGGCTGATAACTCTTCCTCATCTGCACTCAACACATCTCCGATTCCCGAATTTTCCGCCGACGATGCAATCATGTCTTCGTGCTGCAGATAGAACAAAGCCTTACAAAAACCACAAAAACTACATGAAAATATTGATTTGTTGAGGGGATACAGTATACCTGTTTCCAAGTAGCATAAATTCTGAATTCTGGCACACCAAAAAGATAAATAGATAGATGAAGAAGGGCGGAATCAAGCAAGAAGGAGTATCATGCAAGAAAAAACGGATAACACAACGTCCAGTCTCACCCAAAATTGGCAAACGGAGCACTGCCGGCAACCGCGTGTTGAGTCAGCTCGAGGCCCTCTTCGGATTCCATGGCACCTGCCGGTGGCAGCATTTCCCCAGTTCCAGCCTAGAGAGGATGTGTTAGTTAAGAATTCAGGAGAAAGGTGGGAATAGAAAAAGGTGGAAAGAAGAGGAGGAGGATGGGAAAAAAGATAGGAATTTAGGATCTTGAGAGTAGAGAGACCCCATAACAACCATAGGAACACAACATTATAGATAGAAGAATGGGACAAGCAATAGGACAAGAACACAAGCTACAAAATGGTGAGACGGTGGTGATGCGCTGTCTTTCTCTCTGGCTTTTTCAGTACAGTACACCCCCATACCCGAGTCGGAGCATCGCCGCTTGTGCCGAAAAGTGTCGCATCGAATCATCCTCATTATCTCCGATATCGATTAATGGAGACTGCTCTTCTGTAGATCCTCCGCTTCTGCCTCCACCACCTTCCAGAATCCGCCACCGATCATGATCAACCTGTGGGATATATGAACCAAGTGTTGTGATAGTGAGAGCATTCTAGTACTAAGAAGGTACAATACAACGTCTACACTACTCAAAAATATTGTGGTTCTCCTTTTTAATTGTCTTGGACTACAAACTACATAAAAAGCATGCCAGAATTATCAGAAATATCTATTAGATAGAGGAAATTTTGTGTGAGAATTAGAGAAAAAGAGAGAGGGTTATAGGAAAATCAAAATTTCAACAAATTTGAAATCAAAAACCAACCTCCTCAAAGAAAGTTTGAGTTTTTCTTAGAATATGCTTCAGCTCGGTGAGTTCCGAGAAGTTCTTTTTGAGTGTCTCTTCGTTTTTGTTCACTTCGCGAAGCTCGTTTTCGAGTTTTTCGAATGTGGCCTAGAAAATTATTAGTTTTAAGGAATTTTGGTTTCTTGAAGAGCACCTCTAAATCAATCATCTCTCTTGGCAACGGCGCATCGGGATTCTCGCCGGTGTCTAGCATTGGAATCTGATCTTTTTTGATTTCACGCTCCAGGAATCCTAAAATTTAAAATTTCGTTCTCGAAATCATAGAAATTTAAATACTCACTCAATTTCCTTTCCATCTCATCACATCGTCTCACCTCGTTCACATATTTTCGTTGGAAAGAGCTGACGTCTGGGTTTAACTGAAGCAAAATTTAATGAGTAAGAGATTTCACTCAAAGCACTCACATCACGAAACTGCACGAGTCCCAGCTCTCCCAACTCGGCAACACACTGATAAGAGGCATCGGATTGAAGATAGAGCTGTGCCAAACACATCTGCTCACTTCGGTAGATGCCTGGCTCTTGTGGCTCCTCGCCAGGAGTCACGTAATCACCCATCTTGTCGTTTACTGGAAAAATATGGCTTAAAAGAATTCTGAAGCAAAAAATAGAAAACGTGAGAAAAAAGAGCATGAAGACCAGGACCGAAGACCAGATATTGATGGAGCCCCAATAGCAAGGGGCCGGAGAAAGAGTGCGGAGCGCGTGGAGAGAGGGATCGATACGGAGCAGGGGAGCATGAGCAGCAACAGGAAAAGAAAGAAAGAAAGGCGGGAAATAGGAAAAAAAGAATTTTCGACGACAATATTCATTTTGTATGTAATTTCCTAGAAAACATGACTAATTGCATTGCGCAATCTGGGTGAATCGATCTATCCCGAAAAGACACGTCATTGACGATAGAGCGCACGATTCCTCTGGATTTGTTCAGAGACGCAGAGAAGCAGAAATTACTGCTTTGAGGTGGCAAATTAAAAAAAAGAAATTACATGAGGAAATACATGAGGAAGAAAAGACGTAGAGGACCGGTTTTCAACCCAGATGTCTTTTCCCCGCAATGTTTAAACACCTAGAAACCCCTAGCGGGCGGCAGTCAATGTTTAGAAAAACCACCAAAACATAAACATTTGGCTCAATTTTCGTTTGAAATCGATGAGAATTCGAAACAAAACTTGAATTAATATATTACTGAAGTGCGGAGCACAATTGGGGGTGAGATTGAGAGCAATATGAACCTGATAACGGGAGAAACAGAATGATAAGATAAAGTTCTTGCAAGAGAGAGGTCAACCATAGCTTTATAGATAGAAAAACGTCTGATAGGGAAATATCAATCAGCTAAAAAAAAGCAACGTCTTTTAAAAAACCGGTTTAGTGTGTGAACATTCTGTGTGGGCGGAAGAAAAGAGAAAGAAGAAGAACACATAAAAATGAAAAAAATTCCAGCTCGTAAAACGACATTAAAGGTGCAAAGCTTGCGATGTGAATGGGCTTTCGAAACGAAAACTAAGTGTACTGTATTTTTTACAGGTGATGATCAATTTTGCTGACAGAAAAAAAAAATTTTCATTTAATTTTAGAAAAACAAATCATTGATTTATAACTGGAAACTTAATAGCTAATAGCTAAATAGCTGAAAACCGCTCGAATCACAAAAATCGGCGAAAAATGTTTTTGTGTGCACAGGAAAAAATATTTCAACCGTTTTATCAAAAGTGAGGAAGGGAAACACATGTGTGACAAACAGAAAAGACAAAATATGAGTCACATGAACGAACAGTATTAACAAAAAAAAACAAAGGAATAGAAATACAGAAACTCTGATATTTTCATTCCCGTGATGAGAATCAAATCTAGATATCTATTTGACAAATGTCCAAAAACTGATGAATGATTAATAAAAACAGGTTCCCATATAAAGTGATTTCCTGAACTTTAGAAGATCAATTTTCGACTGATAGAAAAAGAAAAATCTTTAGAATAGTGCTGATCCACAAAAGGAATGTCACGACGTTAGACTGCTGTCAAACAGTCCTCTCCTTTCACTCTCTCCGCTCTTCTATCCGTCATTTTTTCTCTTCTTGTCCCCCTTTTCACCCTCCTTCAACAGCTGCAGCAGCAAACACAACATTGCCCCTCACCGTACTCACTGACACACTCTATGTCAAATCGTTGCGAGACCCGCTAGATGTTTGAAAGCGGCGGTTGGTCGCGGGGAAAAAAACCCGCCAGTTCAAAGTTTTTTTTCCGTTTCTCTTGGCGCGCGCGTGCATCGATTTCTGTGCTTATGCGCGCCCGGTTCAAATATAAATTTCGAGAAGTTTCAGAGTAAAATGTCGTCTGCAGTGAGGAGTCCGCGTAAAAAAGTGGCTAGTGACACTTCCGATCCGGTTAGTTAGCTCGGGATTATTGATTAATGATGATTTGGGAATGTAATTATAGGATCGCACGAGTTCTCCGTATAGTCTTCGAGAGACTGCAAAAGTGCCATCGAGATATCGAGATGATGACGTGTACCTATCGCCGACTCGACAAATAAAAAGGACTGGATCTCCGAAAAAGTAGGAGTACCTCTTGTCCTATCAAAAACCGAAAAATCCCGATTTCAGATCTCCTTCAAAACGTCTCAATGGAGGCCGAGACTCACCAGCTGTGCATAGCTTAACCCGTAACTCCAGTCTAACAATGCTAGCACAAGCCGCTCTTGACTACGAGTCAACCAGTAATTCATTGGATTTTATTCCTAAAGAAGAGCAACGTCGTCCAACTAGAAGAGCTCTGGCACTCTCTCCACCACTAACTTCTTCTTCAAATGATATGAATAAAGAGTTGGAGATGTTAGAAATGCAGCAGAATATGGTTGCCGGGCTGGATGATTTGAATAATCCTGATAACATGACAAACGAGGCATTGGAGCATAGAGACAGTCAAACATTCTTCAATATGTTCTCAACCGATCAGGAAAGAAGTGCAATGATAAAACAATTCAAATCGTATAAAAATCAAACTAGCGAAGATGTCAGCACATATATGAGAGCCAATATCAAGAAGTTGTACAATCTGTTGCGATACAAAAAGGCTCGTCAATGGGTGATGTGTGAATTCTTCTATTCCGCGATGGATGAGCAGATTTTCAAGCAGGAAAACGAGTTTGCCAATATAATCAAAGAGAACTTTCCGAATCTCAAAAATTGGAATTTGACACGTGTCGAGTGGAGAGCCATCCGAAAGATGCTTGGAAAGCCTCGCAGATGCTCCAAAGTGTTCTTTGAAGAGGAACGAATGTATTTGGAGGAGAAACGAATGAAGATTCGAAGTGTTTATGAAGGAAGCTATTTGAATGTAAGGCTTATTATTGTCTTTTCGATAGAAAATTCGAAAGTTTTAAATTTTAGGATCCATCAATCGATCTCAAGGATCTTCCGGCGAAGTTGCCACGTCAAATGATTGTTGGAAATCGGGTGTTCGCACGAATAAGACAACCGTACGATGGAATATATTCAGGATTTATTGATGCTGTTGTTCCGAAAGGATTCAGAATTGTTTTTGACAAGGTTTGTTCAAAATTAAAATAGTTGGTTTTTTCAGAAGGCCAGATTCCAGGACTCTGTGTATCTCAGAATCCGAGGGATTAAGAATCCAGAATGTTCCGTAATTCTGAGTAAAAATACTGTAAAATCTCGAAATTTTAGTTCAAATCCGGAAAAATGTTTACTTCAGAATCTCTTAAAATCGGTTCCTCAGAACCTCAATTTTTTGTAAACTAGGTTTATCAGACTTTGGGAATTCAAAATTTAAAAAAGCAGTGAAAAACTTTGACTACTTTCCGCAAATCTTGAAAACCTGAATTCAACAAGTTACATGGCTCAGATTTTCACAATAATTAAAGCACAGAATTTGGTAGCTTTTGACTTTCACAACCTCTCAAAGCATATCGTAAACACTCTTATATTAGGTTGGCGGGAAAGTCTTTGTCACTCTGTTTGTTTAATCACTGTTCTCGTATATGGAGGCTGTGTATGATATCGACTCTAGTGAATAACAAGGTGATAAGAACCTTCCATATAAACAAGTCCCCATCTCCTTCCCTGCTCCTCATCTGTAATTGAAACGATATGTTTGTTCCCACTGCTATTCACATCAGACATGTTTTGATTTACCTCTTCCTATCTCACACCACGATGAAGGATTCGGAAACTTTCTTGAAGAATGTGTACAACACACATGCCCCTCACTACAATACTATTCGCAATTGGTTCCATCGTTTCGAAAAAGATGACTTCTCGCTCGATGAAAAGGATCGCTCTGGGAGACCCCGTGAGTTGGATTTGGACAAGCTGAAGCACGCATTGCAATCGGATCCATTTCAATCTAGCCGTGAACTAGCTGTCACATTCGGAGTTCACCATAGCACAGTCCTTGAAGGTTTGAAGTCTCTTGGAATGAGAAAACTTTTTGGTCGATTCATACCTCATCACCTGACTCAAGCCAACCTTGACCGCCGAGTCGACGATTCGATTACTCTTCTCACTCTCCACGCGGGCGATCGATGGCTGGACCGGCTAATAACCGGAGATGAGAAGTGGGTCTTCTACGATAATCACCACAGGAAATCCCAGTGGGTTGGAGAAGGAGAGAGCCCACAGGATGTCCCAAAACCCGACCTTCATCCGAAAAAAGTTATGCTCTCTGTGTGGTGGGGAGTGGACGGCCCCATCTACTGGGAACTTCTGCCCGAGGGCAAAACAATAACTGGAGACCTCTACACTACTCAACTACGAAACCTCAAGAAAGCAGTCGACCGTTCGGCCCTGAAAGACAAGAAAGTGTACTATCAACATGATAACGCTCGCCCACATGTTTCGAAACAAGTGAAGCAGGAGCTGATGGGATATGGATGGAATGTTCTCCCTCACCCCCCGTATTCTCCTGATCTTGCTCCTTCCGACTATTGGTTATTTGGCGATATGACACGTGCCTTCGAAGGAAGAAGCTTCAATTCCCGTGGAGCGGTCGAAGCGGCACTCAAACAATACTTTGCCTCACGCCCGGCTGGATTCTACCGCAATGGAATCCATAAATTGAGGGAACGTTGGAGACATGTTGTTGATAATGATGGACAATATAATTAATTATTCGGTTATTTTTTCTTTGAGAAATAAACTATTGAAAAAGTGACAAAGACTTTCCCGCCAACCTAATAATAGGCAGCCCGAGCCGCCAACTTTTAGCTCACATATCCCGGTTCCTGTAAAAGATATTTAAAAGTGGTCAACTAACAAAATGTTTATCATAATAACACCCATTTTTTATCAGTTGACCACTATTCCATATCTTTTACACCAATCGAGATATGTGAGCTCAAAGTTGGAGGCTCTTGTGGCCTTCTATTAGTGTTCACTGTAATGAAAAATCAATTGCTCAATTCCAGCCCGACATTCCACCATCGCTTGTCAGTGACACCGAAGTGCTCCTCGACGGAAAAACCGACCTTCTGAGCATCGCTTACTTCATTGAACAAGCTAACTCGAAACTTCCCATCGGCGTTCGCCCATTCGTCGCCGCGGTTCGTGATCCGAATCGACCGCATCTGGTTCGCATGAACTTGTCGCTAGAAAATTAGAGAAGGGCGGTCCATTGAATGGGTTAGATGACGAGAGACTGACTGGAAAGAATCAGGAAATCGTTGGAAATTATCCATTGAAATTCATGGTCAATCTTGTTAATCTGACGAAACTGGTTGAGATTAAAAGAGGATTAATTAAGAATTTGACGGATTTGAATGTAGAAGCAGAGATGCAACATTTGACAAATGATAAGTATCCTATCAAATTCCAGGTCAGTTTTGAGTCATTTTCAAATTTCTAAATCTCTAAAAATTTCAGGAAAAGTACGCTAAGACCATCATCGATTTGGAGCATGTGAATCATCACATCGATGTTAATATGACCGGAATTCAGGATCATACAATGTACTTCTCATCGTCTAATGATGTAAGAAGGAATTTTCCAATAGCTCAGCTCTTTATAAATATCAAAAGCAATTTCAGATCTCCACGGCGAATATGAAACCAGAAGCGGTTCGAAAAGTGTGTTATCAACAGGCGGGACGATTTGTAGAGCACTGCAATCAAGGGTTAAACGTGGAGAATGTTCATGCGTTGACACTGATTCAAGCGTTGACTGCCGTCTTGTTACAGGTACAGTTTTTGGAAATTTGGAGGCGAATCTAATCTAATCTTGAAATTTCCGACATTTTTATACCCGTATTGAATGGGTTTGATGATTTTGAGTGTTTCGGGTTACTGTGGTTTTGAAAGTTCGCAAACACCGAATTTAAAAAAAAATTGAGGTAGGAGACCCACTAAAAATCGGGTAATATTCTCTCTTTTAGCTTCTAAAACCCTCTCCCAACTAATAATTATTCCAGGTCCGAACGATGGGAACCCAACGAATTTCGGCTGTCGATCTTCAATCTCTTGGAGACGTCATCACCGAAATCCGAAACCATATTCATCCTCGAAACGTGGCATTCTTCCAAGACTATGTGGAAGTTCATCTGAAGCAATTCCATTCGATTATGCTTGAAAGTGGAGCTCTCTCGTCGGGATCATCTGTATCTGCCATGACGTCTTCTTCGAATCGCAACAAATAATTCCCCTTTCTTCTTCTTCCCACCGGTCCCAATTTTTCAGTTTCTCACTCTATTTCTCTGCGTGCCTTTTGTCCTTTTCTCTTTTCATTGAGATCATGAGACCCGCCCGATTTTCTCAGTTTTTCTGATTGTTTCCCCGCCAAGCAAGACTCAAAACCTCGAACAAATGTGCCACACAAAATCCCATCATCAGTTCATTCGCTTCTATAAAATCAAAAAATCAAAACAAGCTCATTAGTCTTCTTTTTTTCTCTGCGCCTCCTTTATTCTTTTCCTCTCTAGCTCTTATTATTTCCTTTTCGGATCCAAGTGCATTTTGTACCTCTCTTCTATTAATTGCTCCGCCTCTTCCTTACTTTTTAAATTTGCTATTTACACTTTCAATTTTCACATACTTTGCCAGCTAGATTTTCTTATTTTATAAACGAATTTTTAGATAACCTATGGATTTCAAATTGTTTCTTCTATTCTTCTTTCTTGTTTCCCTAGTGTCTTCTGGAGCTGTGAAACGGGCGGTACATTCGTCTGGATGCCCCAAAAATGCGGAATACAAAGAGTGCACCAACATTTGCCCGGATAAGAGTTGTCAGAATTTCTTGACTGTGAGTTTAAAAACAATTAAAATTACAAAAAAAAAAGTGAAAATTCAGGTCTCCAGCTGCTTCTCTCTTCGTTGTGGACCACCGGCTTGTATGTGCAAAGAAGGACACGTGTATCTGAATGGAGAGGATAAGAATCAAGGATGTGTCAGAAGAGAGACATGCAGCAAATTGGAGAAAATCAGAAAGCAACCTGTTCCATGAAATTTTTTCTATAGAACTTTCTTTTTCGGGATCAATAAACTTTTAAATGCTAGATTTGAGAGTTTTTATCCAGCGATGATAATAGTTATGAAACAGAAATGGAACATGCTTTAAATTGAAAAAAAAACATGATAGCAAAGGTTATAGCAATCAATTTTTGAGAAATTCAGCGATACTATTCCCAAGTTGTGTCATGAAACTGGTCTTCCGATATCCATTGGGTTCATATTTTGGACTGGGATGAAGGTATGCCCCTCATTCATGCAGAGTCCAACAAAAGAATGGACTTCCGAACTCAGTGACAACAGCCTTATCGTTGGTGATGGGTTCTGAAATTTTGAATTTCTCGGAATTTTAAAGAAGATTGAAGATAAACTGACTAAAATAAATATCCAGCTTTTTCTTATATTTTTCCACAAAACTATCCATATAGAAGCCTTTCGGTGGAATGAATGTTCCAATTCCATCGACGAGATAGTAGATGATAAGAGTTGGATTATCAGCTTTTGCAATCACTTTAAACAACTGCCCATCAGTCTCCAACACTTGAATATCATCCGGTTTCTCCTACACTTTTTTTGCAGATGCTGCTTTTTGTTTCTCCTGATTTTCCCTCTTGTTCTCCTCATCCTTCGCAGTTTCCTCCATTTTATCGATTCGCATCATGCACAAAGCAACCAGTCCATCCAGTTGATAGTGTTGAGATTCGGTTTGAATCTCTTTTACCTCTTTTGAAGAATTTGGGAACTCCACGAAACCATCTCGCATGGAACTCAGAATATATCGGAAATAATAGGGATCTCGGTCGATGAAAATTGCACCTAACTCGTCTTTTTCGATCTGAAAAATTATTAAAAACTCGAACGGGCGATAATCTTGACTCCTACCGGTGCATTGGTCTCCAACATGGTTTTCAGCATTCCATCGTACTTGGCAAACGTGGCTTTTGTAGTTTGAAACACCATTCCGCCGATATTCAGCTTCAGAATATTCCCGAAAGATGTCGGTGCCCGATATGGAGTCGTCGGCACTGGAGAAGCACGTGGACTCGGAGTTCTGAAAAGCGAAAATTCGGGAATTTCGTACATAAATCCGCTAGTACGTTGTATTAGCGATCGATTCGGGCGTCGAAGATCGCAAATTTTTCTCGCGAAGCGATTCGTTCCAGTGCTGAAACGTTCTCCAATCGATCGACAAGCTTCCCGCTTTTGCGGAGAGTTCTTAGATGTTGGTAGCCATTTTTTAGCTGAAATATAATTTTTTTTTGCTTTTTCAATAAGTATTTGTGTAAAGTATCAGAGTAAACTGAAAAAAGTGCTGCGAAAGACGAATAAAAATAGAGACAAAAACAAGATTTTTCGCAAAATTCGATTTAGAAACTACCGTACCCTGAAGGCGCATAACGCAAAAGCTCTCATGGGTTTCGCAGCGAAAGGGTGTACTACTTCAGAATGGTGAGTTTTCGTTTCGAAAATTTAGAACAATAGTTGAAAACAGGTGATTATCGCTGCAGAAATAAAATAGGTCATTGCAATCGGCGACAAATATATGATTTATCCAGATATTACTCTCGTCCGAAATCAATGCACGTTGCGGCCGAAAATTTACTCAAAATCGCATTGTCGGTCGCACAGCGAAAAACAAATTGATGCATGCGCCTTTAAATACCGTACCTCAGACGTTTTTTATTTTGGTCCCTATTTGGCTGTTTTTTTCTATTTTATAAGAAAAATAAATTAAAGATTTATAAGAATTACACAAAATTAGACAGAAACAAGCGAAAAAATGAGAGAAATTTGAGAAAATTCGATAAATGTTGAGGTACTGTATTAAAGGCGCGTGCAATAATTTGAAAAATACAGTAAGGTTCTCTCTGTGGGAGCTAAGCTCCGCCCACCGTTGTTTTCTCGGCCGCAACGTGCATTGATTTCGGACAAGAGTAATAATTGCAATAGAAAAAGTATATGAAAAGTGGCCAATAAATGTGCAGTGACATAAAAATAAGTAATGACACAATATTTTTAACGGATTCTATTAGACAGCAACGGGCGGCGCTACTTTCTCAACGGATCGAAGAGTGAATTGGCTGAAAAAATTTTAATTATCGCTACAGTAATCCTACAGTAATCCAACAACATACAACAAAAGGATACTGTCGAAGTTTCTTCCGAGATTCTCGGTGACAACTTCTTCCACATCTTGAAGACGGATCACAGTAAACGGGAAGAAGTAGGTGACTTTTCCTGAAATTTCCAGAATTTTTTATCTGGTATCCCTATTTCTCTGTTTCGCACCTGTATACACTTTTCCAGTCCAGAGTTTGCATGCGACGTATTGTTCCTCTTGTGTGAAATAGACGTAATTCGGTTTGTCGGCTCGAAAAATGATGAGTGCTCTCAGGAAAAATACATAGATTGGAGAACATCTCATCGAAAGTTCCAATTGACTCTGAACATTTTATATTGAACGAATGATACCGTAAACTTTGAGTCAATGTATCATGGCTCCTGTACATGATATAAAAAAATAGTCAACAGATAAATTGTTTATCATAATATCCAAAACATTTCGTCAGTAAACACAGTTTTGACATCTCTCATAGGATCCTTGAAAAATGAGCTCAAACTTGACAGCGGGGGCTTCTATTGCAGCTTTTTCGGTATTCTGAAAAAAAGAACTCACCGGTTCATGACTTTGGTGGACCAAAAAGATGAAGACAGACAAGGGAATAGTCAAATGAAAATCAAGAAAATCACTTGGATGGAAGATATTCCAGGAAAGTTTATTCATGAAATATAGGAGAAAGATACTGACTGGACCAATTACTGCAGTACAGTGCACAAAGATCTGAAAACGTTATTAGACTCCGGACATTTGATTTCTAGTGTCTTGGTGTCTGGAGGTCAAAACTTTTGAATTCCAGGTTTTTAGAATTTTATATTTTTCTTGAATTATTGGATGTTTGACTTCCAGATTTCGTGTGTTCTTTTTTGTAGTTCTGAACTACTGGATTTTGAATTTGTTTAAGTGATACCAAATTTCGAATTTCCATCCCCTCGATGTGGAATGAAAACCTTTTTCAGGGAATAATCTAAACTTCCCATAATTCATAAAAATCTTCCCATAATTCAAAAAAATGGACCAACGAAAACATGTTCAGGTTTATGGGTCGTTAAAACAAAAAACTCGAAAATTTGTTCAGGAATGAAATGAGAAACACGAAAATCGACATAATTATCGTTTTTATTTCGCTTATTTATACAGGGTGGCCGATAAGTATAGGACGCTCGCTTTCAGCGTTCCCTGGCACGGTGCCAAGGGATATTTTCGAAAAATTTCGAAACTTTTCGAAAGTCCAGAGACTATATAAGTAAGCTTCTCAGTCATTTGTTCTCACTTCTCCATATCGCTATGAAAAGTTCTCCTCATCGTCCTTCCATTGAACTCTTGTTCAAGAGAGGCCTCGGAAGTGCTGAGATCGCTCGACGCCTTCAAATTTCGTCTTCGACGGTTCGAAACGTTGTCGCTGCTATCAAAAAGCGAGGAGATGCTTCTGAAGTAAAAAAAAGCGGACGTCCACGTTCTGTCAACACCCGGAATACTCGTGCAATCATCAAGAAACGGATCATTCGAAATGATGGATTGAGTCTCAATAGGATGGCGTCACAGCTTGGAATTGCCCGATCCACTGTCCAATCGATTGTCAAGAACGACTTGAAGCTCAAAAGTTACAAACTACGTCGTGGACAGTACCTCTCGGACAAATCGAAAGCGATGCGACTCGAAAAATGCCGAAAATTACTCCAGCACTTTCAAGTGCGCCGCGTCTCTGACGTTATCTGGACAGACGAGAAGATCTTCACTATTGAACCTCTTCCCAACCGTCAAAACCAGAGACAGTTATTGTCAAAGGATGACAGCATGTCTCCGAAACGTCGTCTTGCCCATAACCGCCTTTTCCCGAAAAGTGTCATGGTTTGGGCCGGTATCACGGCAACCGGTAAAACTCCGTTGGTTTTCATTGAAAGAAATGTGAAAATCAACTCGGAGGTGTACCAAAAGATTGTGTTGATGGATAATTTGTTACCCTGGGTCACTCAGCACTTTGCTGGCGGTCCATTTATCCTTCAACAAGACTGGGCACCGTCCCATGGCTCGAGATCGACATTGGCCGTCTTGGAGGCGCATTTCCCTGGATTCCTGGACAAGAACTTGTGGCCTGCTTCCAGCCCGGATCTCAATCCGATGGATTTCAGCGTTTGGGCATGTTGGAAGGGAAGATCGCGGGAAAAGTTTTTGCTACTGTCGATGACTTGAAGGCCGCTCTCGAGGTAGCATGGGCTTCGATCGACGACGGATACCTGCGGCGCACTGTCAATTCGGTGAAGAAACGTTTGAGAGCCTGTGTCAAAGCTCGTGGATCCAACTTCGAATTTCTCTTGTAAAATCAAATTTTCTGCTTATTTTTTGTTGTTTAATAAAGGTTGTTCTCGAAAAATCCTCAAATTGAAAAAATGGGAGCACTTTCAAAACGTCCTATACTTATCGGCCACCCTGTAGATAAAAGAGGAAAATATATTTTCCCATAAACTGGAATACCGTAGACCTTTAATACAAGCCATTCCATACACTCTTATAGCATAAAACCCATAACTTTCAACTTTGAGCCAATTTATCATGATTCCTGTGGAATATATGAAAATATGTCAACTGATAAAATGTTCATAATGTCATAATAAATAGTTTTATACCTTTTGATATTTTATGGAATCGAGATCAATTGGCTCAAAGTTAAATGTTATGGAGCCTTTCCATTACAGAGTTTACGGTACTCTGAAAATGGCAAAAGTGGGTTGTTACTGTGAAACAATCTAACTCAAAAGTCTACAGATTGGAAATGTTTTGATCTTTTAAGCCTGAAAATTTGCTCTGTTGTTCGAGAGGATGAATCCCACCCCCTGATCCAACTCACATCAGTCCATACAGAATCCAAATCGAGAGATCCTCCAAACAAAAGATACTCGGCTGCGACGAATTGAACCATTAAAAAGATTGTACACACAGACAAATAGTTTCTCAATAAATTCAATTTCTGCTGACTCGTGTATACAGTATTCCATAAATTGTGAATCAAGAGTGTGAGAAAGACCACAAAGACGTTGTAGACACCATAGATCCAGAAGAAGTGTTCGAGTTCTTTGTTTCCTTTGACGTAGACTAGATCATAAAGAATCCAAAAGGAGAATACAGGAATCGTGAATGCGGATAGTGTGAATGTTGGAAGAGATATGGTGGGGAACACCATATCTCTTCAAGGAGCTACAGTAACCAATTTTCTAAGGAATAGGAAGAGGTTTCTAGGAATTCAAAATTTGGGAAGGTATGAAAAAGGAAGAAGAGGCTCTCTCCTTTGGATCCGCCCATTTTTCTGCGTCTCTAAACATGTAATACTCTCTCGTTGTGCACATATTTAAATGGCTTTTTCGGGAAACCCAAATCGTTTGTTTCTGTCGGAAAATCATAATTGGAGAGAAAAAAAGAAATACGAGTAATGGGTATTTCATGGAATTTTGAACAAGGAAGTGAAATTCTCAGGTTACTGTAGCAGAATATATAACAAATAGTAGGATTATTATGAGATCCTTGATATAGTATCGATTTTTGGATTTGTGACGACGTGATTCATTGGTCCACAGTAAGCACATTTTTCAGTTGATTTTCGGTTAATTTGGATATTTACAGGAGTCTGGAGCTCGACTGTCAAGCTTCCGATCAATTTGAAAACGTTGAAAAGTGTAAAACAAACCTAAATTCAAAACTGCATTCATAACACTTTCCTAGCTTTTTAGCTATTTGCTAGTTTCTGAAAGACACATGTTTTTTCCGTGTTTCCAGTACAAAAACGGGCAAAAAGAGATGTTTTTCAGAAATCGACAATAGCTAAAAAACTAGGACATTTCAAAAATTCTGTGAATGCAAAGTTTTCAATCTATGTCTATTTTACACCCTCCGAAACTTTCAAAGTGATCGAAAACTTGACAGACATGCTCCAGACACCTGAAAATGGTCAAATTGGCCAAAAATCAACGGAAAAGTAAATTTTCGTTCTTCTTATTGCCAGGAACTGTATTTTATTGACGACATCATTTGTGTCAAATCTTCCTCCTAAAGCGGCACGAATTAGTTTGTCCTATTCATTAAATTTAACGTAGCCTAAGGATGGGCTTTTTGCAGAAAAACGAAATGAAAGGTGAGGAAATGGGAATTCTATGGTAATTCCAATAGTCAAGTTCCAGCAGTCTCCAGGATTCCGGCAATTTCAAGGACTTCAAGGACAACATCGAGGATGATCGTGGCTTGGATCGGACATGGAAGGAATAGGGAAACGAATTGAAAAGTGAGGAAGTGGTAATTCTATGGTAATTTCAATAAAGTCAAGTTACAGGAATCTCCAGGATTCCGGCAACTCCGAGGATGTCAAGGACAACATCAAGGATTGGCATTTCGCTTGGATCGGGTACGAATGGAATAGGACAACAAATTGAGAGGTGAGGAATTGGTAAAGTTACAATACCACGATAGTCGGGGGATGCAAAAAATACATTCTGAAAAATTTTTGCCGACTTTTGAGAAATCAGAAGTTGTAAATTTTGTTTTTGAGATTTAGAATTAACTTTGAATTTCGAGGTATTCAAAACTGAAGTTCTAAAATCTTGTTCAAAAGTTTTGATTTTCATTTTGCCTGTCAATTCGATCCAGAGTTCTATAAAAATTCTCGCTTACGAAATTTCTAATAACGAAAAGTTCACTGTTTTTCAACAAAATAAATTTAGGACTCCACTGACAAATGTGCCAACATCAACACACATCGGCTGCGACGAATCCTGTGGAAAATTGATACGGTAACAAAAATTAAACTTTTTCAAAAAATAAAAAAATATATATTTTCAGTGGGAGGCAATGGATCACTCGAACGTCAGCCGTCGCCAAGCCGTCGCACAGCCGCCAGGACTTGTGAACTTTGTGAACTTCCCTTTTTTGTTTGATAATTGATAATTTATTGATCAGGGGAAAATATGGCACAAAAGTTATAACGGGAGTTCTAGATAAAATCCCTAACGAGATGAACCTAGAGAATGGGGAAGAAAATGGTATACATGTAAGGTAGGCAAGATATTAAAAAAAAAAAGGGGAAAAGGTAAGCTAAAACCGGGTGATGGAAGATTGGATTAAGGTAGAAAATTGACCGGGAGTTAAAAATTGGGGAGTATTCCTTACAATTGCATTCCAAATAGGGGCGGTGGTGAAGAAGAAGTCATCGGTACATTTATCTGAGAGAATAAGGGTCATAGGTCTCCTAGGACAGTCGGAAATTCTTAAGAAAGAGGATAATTCTGGCATATAAGAGGCGTCACTAATCATTTTGTAAAGCAGCATAAGTTTAGATTTAAGTCTACGATGTCTGATAGAGAAGAGGTTGGGAAAGACGATCTTGATAAGAAGAGTATGAGATATTGCATTTCTGGAAGACTTTACGGGTGAAGAAACGGAGTGGTGATTCGAGTTTTTGAGAGAGTTTCGAATTGGGGGGAGGAGAATAGATTACTGAACAGTACTCAAGAAAGGGGAGTACGTAGGTTCTGAATAAGGGAAGGTAGAATGAGGGGTTGGAGGATTTGAAAGATTTCAAAAGTTGTTTGGATCGGAGAGGTGAACAGCAACCGATTTGTTTATGTGTTGGGTGAACTTAAGTTTGGAGTCGGTAATAAGTCCCAGATCACGAATATTGTCAGAAGACTCAATAGCTGAGGAGGAGATGAAAAGGGGAGCGTGCTTGTTTCTTGAACCAAGGCGTAGAAGAGAAGTCTTTGTATGAGCTAGAGGAAGCTTATTGTTTGTGGCCCAGGTATCTATAGTGTTGATTCCAGATTGTAGAAGGAAGGGATCATGGGAATAGAGATCATGGGAATAGAATTTTTCTTTTATCTCTTTTTGCTCTTTTTGCTTTTCCTTCTCGCGTTTTCCCTCCTCCGTTCGTTTCTCCGTGGTTCCTTCAAATTTTGACGCCTTCTGAGTTTTTTGTAGTTCTTCTCGTTTCCGTGTTTTGGGAAGTTTGGAGTCGGTCGATTAGGGTTATTTTCCAGAGTTGAGCAGAATCCCTTCTTCTGTCTCCTGCCCAAAAGTTTGCTAATTTTCACTGTTTTCCGTTGAAAATAGTCATCTTTAGTTTTCTAAAAAAAAGTACAGATTCATCGAAATGAGATAAACGGCTTGATACCAATCAAGTGCCAAAAGTTCCAGAAATAATACTGGGTGCACTTTTAAACGATTCCGCCCATTCGGATGAATCTGTACAGAAAAGTTGTCAACTACAAAGTGGAAGGTCTATTTTGATTAGTAGACCTGAAAGTTTTCAGCCGCCTTGAGCAATATCTACTATACATTTTAGACATCCAATTTTGACCACTTTCTAGGTAAAGTATTGAAACGAATACCGTATTTGCACTAATGAAAGCTCACTCATGCCATTTGAATTATCTCGGCACTTTCAAAAGAAATCGAAAAAATTTCAGAATTGATAAATTGTTAACCAAAATGTCATCAATATTTCATCAGTTGATAGATTTTTGATTTCTCTCCTAGGAACCGAGACAATTAACTAGGGAAGGCCGCAACTCGGGTGTGGCGATACGGGTGGTGACCTATATCATCTGAAAGCTGACATTTTCTTGATTCCAAATCTGTTTTCAAAAAGTGCTTTGTCGCGGTAGTTTTCGAGAAAATTGGGTCGAAAGTTTCGAAAACTGACGTGGATTTTCAATCTCATTTCCCTTCCTCACGTATATAGGTTTTGAAGCATTTAAACAATGTGGAAGCGTGGTCGAATGGTTAGTGAGGGAGGATATGAAGCGGGTACTCTCTGGCTCGACTCCCTCGAGCTGCTAAACTTTTTTTGAATTTTTTTTTGAATTTTTTCTTTCCGGTGACCGTATCTGACTTGTAAAAATGGACATAGGTTATCGAATCTCGTGAAACAACTTTTTATTTATTTATTCTCTTTGTTTTGAACTAATTCTAGTACATTAAAAAATTTCGAAAATTGAAAAAAATATCAAGGGGGTACCCCATGACGATTTTTTCAACAAAATTTTTTTTCGAAAAAAAGAGAAAACTTCTCCAGATTGTAGACACGCATACAAAATACGAATAACATTTGAATATCCCCAAATAAAGTCAATAATTCGAAGGGTACTCTCTGGTTCGACTCCCTCGAGCTGCTAAACTTTTTTTGAATTTTTTCTTCGTTTTTTTCCGGTGACTGTATCTGACTTCCATTTTGATTTTAACTGTTTTTCCTATTATTTTCAAAACTTTTTGTTTTCATCTATTTTTCCACAATTTTTAAAGGATTGTGATCCATTGAAGATTCTAGACAAACCGCATATTTTTGATTTTTCTCGAACTATTGTCATTGGTCTTTTTGGGCACGCTGATTACAGAACTGAAATCAGTTTTTCCACCCCGGCCCTGTGAAAAAAGTTATGAGTTATGAAAGTGACTACAGTACTATTTCTCATTTTTGAAGTGAGTTTCTGAAGGAATTATTGACTTTATTTGGGGATATTCAAATGTTATTCGTATTTTGTATGCGTGTCTACAATCTGGAGAAGTTTTCTCTTTTTTTCGAAAAAAAATTTTGTTGAAAAAATCGTCATGGGGTACCCCCTTGATATTTTTTTCAATTTTCGAAATTTTTTAATGTACTAGAATTAGTTCAAAACAAAGAGAATAAATAAAAAAAGTTGTTTCACGAGATTCGATAACCTATGTCCATTTTTACAAGTCAGATACGGTCACCGGAAAGAAAAAATTCAAAAAAAAAATTCAAAAAAAGTTTAGCAGCTCGAGAGAGTCGAACCAGAGAGTACCCGCTTCATATTCTCCCTCACTAACCATTCGACCACGCTTCCACATTGTTTAAATGCTTCAAAACCTATATACGTGAGGAAGGGAAATGAGATTGAAAATCCACGTCAGTTTTCGAAACTTTCGACCCAATTTTCTCGAAAACTACCGCGACAAAGCAATTTTTGAAAACAGATTTGGAATCAGGAAAATGTCAGCTTTCAGATGATATAGGTCACCACCCGTATCGCCACACCCGAGTTGCGGCCTTCCCTAGTAAGCTCAAAGTTCACGGGTAGGCTTCTATAAGAGCAAAAACGCAACGACTACCGAAAAAAGGCAATTTGAAAGAGACAGTTCGACCAGAAAAAGTTGGAAACTTTATTTCATAAAAAAACCAAATTTTTGACACGCACACAAAAAAGAAAACACCTCTAGACACCACAATCTTACATGACAATGACATCCTTATGTCTGACAATGTCCTTATCATCAATAACATGATGAGAATCAGATGCATTGTTGCTCTTCACGAAGTGTCCCTTTCCGTCACTGGTCAATGAACTATCATGACTCGAAGACTTGTCTCCTCCCTTCGCTTGAGTCTTCTCGTATCCTTGACTCATTGAGCTAACTTTTCCGGTTCCAAGATCTTGATATCTCTCCTTCTTTCCTCCTTCGCCACGTGTCTCCAAATCCGTATGAGAATTTGATCCAATATCCAAACTAGCACTGGATCCATCAGCATTTGTTTGATTTCTCTTGTGGGAAGCTGCAGCGTCGTTTCTGGATTTTCCGTGGTTGACATGACTCTCATCCTTGTTGATGACAGTGCTTCCGTCAGCAAGTTTCAGTACTGCATTCTTAGCGGCGGCTTGAGATTCCTGAAGATCAGAAAGAGAAACATCCGAGTGTTGAACGTCATTGATCTCGGTTCCATTGGCAGACTTGGCATGGAGGCTAGAGTTGACAACCTCATCCTGAAAATTATTCTTATCAGTACTATAATTCCCTCTTTGATTACCGTATCATTCTTATGATTCTGGAGATTGCTGGTCTTAATTTCATGCTGCATTCTTCCATCCAATCCCTTGTGAATAAACTCATTGCGTCTATCATCAGTGGCATCCTTGTTCGAGTGCTTCTTATCCGAATCACTGTTCTCCTCGATGAATGATCCATCAGCTCTCTGTTCTCCTCTGTGATGCTTCTTCTTCTCCGAATCGCTATGCTCAACTGCTGTTTGGTTGCTGCTGTCATTGGAAATCTGAGAAGTTCCGTCCTTGTTCACAACCCTCTTCTGGTCCATATCACTGCTAGCACTTCCAGCGTCATGAAGATCCGAAGCCTCTTCAGTCTGTTCATTGATCTTATGTCCAGCTCCATCGTCAGAAACCATGGAACTCTTGAGACGGTTTTGATTGTTGAGAGAGGAAGCGACTTGTCTGCTATCCTTGTTGTGATCGATGGTCGATCCATTGGCAGCTATCTGGTGGAGATGGTTGAATTGGTTGGACTCATCATCGGATGAGTTGAAGGAACTTCCGATATCAGTGGTTTCATTGCTCATCATTCCATTGAGACCCTTCTGGTACTGCGATGCAGCGATATTGGAGAATCCATCAGTTCTATTGACCTTCGAGTTGGATCCCTTGTTCTCAACGAACACAGTTCCGTCGGCATTCTTCTCGTTCTGAAATAAAATCTGTAGATAAACCGATACATTCAATTAATTACCGTCATTTCCTCTGCAAACTTCTCAGCTTCATATCCATTTCTGCTCATGTTTTTCTTCATCTTCGAAATGGTTTCAGTTCCATCGGCGTTATGAATCGAAGCAAGATTTTCAGAATTATCGAACTCTCCAGTCTTCTTGTTACGGTACCCACCAGCGACGGAATGATCTCTAACGTTTCCGTGCTCGTCAACAGCTTCTTGAAGAGCATGAGTGAGATTGTGGTTCTCGTCCAAAGATGTTCCACTGGCGGATTTGTCGTTGATTTGGGTTTTTGTTCCCTTCTCGTCCATGGTATCGACCATACTGTTTGCTGTCTTGTTTCTGCTCTCGGCCTGGAAAATTCAAGCTAACGGTTCAGCTAAACTACACCAACAAACCTTTCTTCCACTCTCAATACTTGACTCATTGTGCGATCTAACTCCATTCTTTCCAATCTGTTCACTGATACTTCCAGCACTTTGGTTGGCTTCATCCAACTTATAATCGTCAGTATTATTGTTAGCTTGATGAACATACGTTCCATTCTTTCCAATAATATCAACAGCGGAGTTGGATCCAGATGACGAATTGATCTTGCTGCTGTTGCTTCCAGCATGACTTCCCTCCAGAGAAGACGTTCCATCAGCATTGACCAGTTTCTTTTGCATAACTTCCTGTTGCATTGCCTTATCGTAGTTGGTGTTATTGAAGTTTCCAGTGACATTGGACAATGATGTTCCATCGGCGTTTTTCTGTGCCTCCGTATTTTGCTCAAAGTCTGACCTGGATCCCTTATCAGAAGAGGCAAGTTTCTCGCTAGCAATAGAGACATTATTTCCTTGAGCATCCATACTTTCGTGATTAGAGAAGGCACGTTGGTCAGATTTATGAGAATCTCCGATCGATCCTTTTCTCTGTAAGGGGTTTCGATCATTATCAAGAGGATACGAGATGAGGAAATCGAGAATCACTTACGTGTGTGGTGTTATGAGATGTTCCATCTGCGTTGAGAGCCATTTGTTGGTCCTCGTCAAGGATGTGATGGCTAAGATGCTCGTCAGAGTTCTTGTGTCCGGTTTCGTTACGGATGAAAGTTCCATCAGCATTTTGAAGATTGTAGGGCTCATTGGCCTCGTCAAGAGCAGCAGCTCTGGTCTTGTTGTTAACCTTATTGCTGTTCAAGCTAATCTTGTTTCCAAGCTTATCAGCTGATTCGTGTTGGTGCTTCTCCAAGGCATACTCGTTGTCATCAACAGACGACTTGTTGTGGCTCTTTCCAGTTTCAACCTGAAAACGAAAACTTTGTACATTCTGGAAAAGGATGAAACCAAACTAACCACTGATCCATTTGCAGATCGAATCCTGGTGTTCTCATTGGCCTCATCAACCTTTGACTCTTTGTCATATCCGCTCTTTGTCTCATCATTCTGAGTGATATTCTTTCCATCAGCTCCCACGACTGTCAGGGAATGAGTATTTGATGAGGATCCACTGCTCTTATGATGTCCCTTGTGAGATTTGCTCGAGTGAACCATTGAAGCCTTGCTGGCGTCTAGTTTTGGAATGTCGAAGTCTGATGCTGATCCGAGGGATGAGCTGACTGGAAATTTCAGAATTTCGGAGACTGGAAATATCGATTTCCGAAAAAATATAAAAAAGGAAATATGGATTTTTTTCAGAAAATTTACAATCGCTTACGGACCGGGTTCTAATAGTCACCTGTAATTTATACTGCTTCCCATTAGTTATTTCTAGATTTTAATAAGGATGTGCAAAACGCGGCCGCGGCCGTGGGTGGGTTGTCGTGGACCGATTCGGCCGTCCATTCGAAAATAAGCTCATCTATCCAGAAACTGCTAGGCTGCTGTACCCGTTTTCCACAAACTCCCAGAAAGTAACATTGCCCCTCACGAATCTCGGAATACGCACAAGTTGGTCGATTCCCATACAAACAATTATTCCCTAGATGACCCTATGGCCTATGCACTATCAGATAGACCCCCAAGTGTCTAAAAGTGGTCCCTCATACAAAATAAATCTCAAAGAAAGATTTCTTACGTCCAAACTTGCTGCCGAACGACGAAGATGCTCCGCCTCCTCCTCCGAAGCTTGTTCCACCGAACTTCTTCTTCAAATCATCGAGAAGATTTCCGTGAACCACTCCAAGAATCAGAAGGGTCGCCAGTGCGACACCTTGAGGAGAAACCATATCCTGAAACAATAGGGGTATACGGTAGGTGCTTCAATCGAACTACAAAAGCGAGAAGAGTCAGCAAACGCGCAATAAAACTCAATATGCGATCAAGCTACCCGAAACATGGTGCTTTTATAAGGAAGTTTGGGGTTGCTTTTTTATGATCCATCACCGAAAAGCGGGGTGGTTGCAGATTGGAAAAAAGAATACCCCCCGGTTTTATGACATGAATCCATGAACATTGAAAAAATCAGAGAAAGCGAAAAAGAACAAAAGTTAGTACGATACCAAAATATATGACTATCGTTTTGGTACGAAAATCAGAGATTTGGAAGAGAATCGCCGGTGGCCGTGGCTGAAGGTCCCACAACTAAAACAACCGTAACCTGGAGAAAATTATTATTGAAATATATTCGCTTTTCGGTTATTATTCGTTAAAAAAAGCAGAAAATAAAAACTTTCAGATATTGAATAAAATTGATTGAAAACGCACAAAATCGAGAGTTTCAGAAAAAAATTTCAGCGGAATTTTTCCAGAAATTTTAATTTTTCTTCGAAATTGTAGGCTTCGGTTAAAACACTTTTTCCCTTCCATTCGAAAATGGTACTGTTTTAGCTCTCTTTGTTCTCAAATGTTCTTTTTTCAAAAATATACTCTTAACTGAAAACATCAAGTACTGTACTTTGGATTATAAGTTCAATCATCTTTATTGCAGTTCAGAAATAAAAAAGTTAAAAAAATTATCCTCTGCGACGGAACATGGAAGTGTCATCATCGTTGTCGAATCCATCATCCCAAGTGGATCGGCTGGAAGTTGAACGAGAAGACGATGCATTGGAGGATGAGCTGGAGTATGATGACGAGAATTCCTCTTCTTCTGATCCGTTCTCACTGACGCGCTGGAAACAATTAATGAAAAATTGATGATCTCCTAGAGAGAACTTCGGAGAACCCCGGAAATCAAGCTCCAAAACTGTCAATTCAACTGTACCTAGTGTCCGTATCTCAAGATCATGACCGTCTTTTCATGGTTCAAAAAATTCTGAGATTCCATTACCTTAGGAACTTTGAACTTAAAAGTTCCTGAGATAACCTAGAAACGCTCCACTCACATGTTTATTTTTCTTATGTCCACTCTCATCGAAATCCTCATTATGAGTATTGCTCTGAGTTCTTTCCTCCTTTACCATTCTTCCACTTGCATCTCTTCCGAAGTTCACACTTCTTCTTGGACTCTCCTCCTCTTCATAGCCTTCTCTTCCACCATCGTTTCCTTGGAATCTTTCGAATCTATCCTTGCGTTCACCAAAAGAGGACTCCCTTTCTCGTTGTCCACGAGTGACCACACGTCTTCCGTGTTGCTGATTGAATCCAGAACGATCGGATCCTCCTCGCTGACCTCTGTTTCCTCTTCCGGTATCTCTCGTATCCACAACATCATCATCTCGACCTCCATCGTTTTGTCTGTAGCCGTTGTTCTGTCCTGAAATTTAAAATCTTACGATTTTTGTTTGGAGGATTTCGTACCATTTCCAGATCGTCTGGTTTGAGCTTCTGATTCCTGTTCAAAACCGTCGTTTCTGTTGCCGCTGGATGGTCGATGACGACCTCCAGATCCTGTTCTTCCGGTACTATCCGAGGTGTATTCCGATTCCTCCTGTCCGCTGAATCTACCGCGTCCTCCGAATCCGCCACGTCCTCCAGATCCACCTGATCCACCGAATCCTCCTCTTCCTCCATTTCCTCCGCGTCCACCTCTTCCATCTTGTTGGTCGTTTTGACCTGTCAATCTCCATTTTACAAAAGGCTAGATTTTGATTTTTGTAAATATAAATGTTCTTTAAAGCCTTGAATGTCCAGATAGGTTCCTCCTAGGCAGAAATTTATAAATCAAATTTTCTGATTTTCAATTTTTCCAAAATACTCTCACCATTGAATCCAGAACCTCCTGGAGACTGTCCATTCTCATTGATATACAAAGCTTGTCCAGTTCTTTCAATATATTCGGAGTCTTGTTGAGATCCAGAATGTCCTCCGAATCTTCCATTTCCACCTCTTCCACCTTGACCTGTAGATCTTTCTCAAATTATCTCATTCCGAATTGTTTTCTCTTACCATTGGATCCAGAATTCAAGGTGTGTTTTGTCGGTCCATACTCATCAACGTATCTAGCTTCTTCAGTCTCCTCATAACTTCCGTCGCCTCTTCCAGAAGAAGAACCATCGTTATTAGCTCCATGGATTCCGGCTAAATAGAACATCGAAAAATGAAACAAGTAGGTTTAAACTCACTGGCATCTTCTACAAGTCTTTTTCATCCGTATCTTCCGTTTTCATCGTTTCCATCTCTTACATTTCCTCCTTGGCCGCCTCGTCCTGAAAAGGAAAAAGTTACTGAAAGGTCATCAGCAAAATTGAAGCTCTATTTTTTAAAGACTCTCTCCCCAACTGAAAATTTGAATCGCAAGCTTTTTTCCAGTGGAAAGCGTTTGAGCGGCACCAAAATAAGGCGCCATATTTCGAGCTATTATTTTCTCGCAAACGCGCTCCGCTGAACGAAAAGCTTGCAGTTCTAGTTTCCACCTAAGGAGGACGTGTCTAGTCAAATGTATCCCACCTCCACGTCCTCCAGAAGATGAAGATCTGGTTCCCGAGGACTCTTCATTGTATCTCTGATCATTCAAATACGATTTGTCTCCATTTTCATTTCCACCATTTCCACCTCTTCCACCACTTCCACCTCTACTTGTTGATGAGGTCCTTCTAATCTGAGAGCTTGTTTGAGAGCTGGAGGAACTTTGTTCATGGTACGAGTTGGAAGATCCAGAAGATCCACGACCTCCCGAACTTCTCCCATTACCATTTTGATTGAAGCTGTTGGAGCTTCCAGAATCACGAGATCCAGAAAATGCAGAAGATCCAGAAGATCCAGAAGATCCATGATATCCAGATCGACGACCTCCCAAACTTCCTCCGTTTTCATTTTGATTATTAAAGCTGTTGGATGCTCCAGAACCACCAGAACCTCCGAATCCATCTTCATCATAAGTTTGAGCGTCATTCTCATCGTCATATCCACCTCCACTGTTGATGACTCGTCCACCGGATCCATTGGAACCTCCTCGACCACCAGATCCATTTCCAGAGCCAGAACCATCTCTTCCACCACTTCCTCTTCCATCATTTCCTCTTCCACCGCTGGAACCACCGTTGCCCAGCAAAATCCGAGCCATCTGGATCCTGGTATTGATCGTCTCCCAAAATGTCGAATTCCTTTCTGATTCCACGACCATTTCCTCCAAGATCTTCGGAATATCTTGGTCGTTGTTTTGGCTTCTGGTCACCGGCTTCGTAAAGTTCTCGTTGATGTTCTTCTAAAAATCGGAGGGATCTAATGATCTAACAATCTAGCGATCCAAGGAACTGGAGGACCCACAAATACAGTAACCTAAACCTACCATCATTGACTACGCCATTTCCACCAGTTGATCCCTTCCGAATGGCTCCATTTCCTCCATTTCTGTCCGCACGTCCTCCTCCTCCATTTCCAGCCAAATCCCCTCCAGCCCCACCATCACCAGCTAATTGACCATTTCCAACACCCCCTGATCCACTTCTTCGTCGGCACGGTTTCCCATTTCTGGTGCTGAAACGTTTTGGGATTACTGTAGTAGATCATTCGGGTTACGGTACCTTGCTTCGGCAAGCACTGCCAGTAGAAATAATACAGAGAGGGTGAGCAATCTCATTGAGAGAAAACTAATACGGTTCTTTTCGATCATTCGCTTCTTTTTATATACCTTTTTGAGAGTCATAAAAGTACTAAAATCGATTAATAACTAGTACAGAGAAGAGGTGGTGATAACATTTATAGGAATCGGTGATTTTTGATTTACAAAGGTAAAGGAAATAATTTTTACAGGATTACTGTAGGTTTCTTTTTCCAATTCGATGAACTTTTCGAAATTTTTGGAATGTCGGAACTTCGGAATTTCGTTCTACTTTTTTATAGTTCTCATGCCTTCGTATTTTTTGGAATTTTTGGAAATTCAGAATTTTCGGAATTTTCAAATTTTATAGTATTCATTTTATAGTATTCAGAATTTATGATTTTTTGAATTACGGAATTTCGCAGAAGTAATTTTTGGAATTTCCCGAGTTTTCAAAGTTCTTTTTTGTTCTTTTTTGTTGACACCTCATAAGTTTAAGAATTTTGGAAGTTTCATAGTTTTCAAAATTTCGAAAATTTGCTGAATTAATTTTTTTGCTACTTTTTTTTTCGAAACTTACGAAATTTTCGAGAATTTGAAAATATTTCTGTCCAACCTAAGGTTTTTTTTTTTCCATCAAAATACCATATTTTTTCAAAAACTTTTTTGATTACTCATCACCCAAAAAACTTCTGGAATGTTCCTTTAACAATGCTTATATTTCAATGAATCTATACAGTTTCTCATTGTTCTGAAGCTCTATAAATGCACAAAATGTGTATTATTTCCATTAAAAAATGAAATTGCTTCTTCTAACTCTTACAGTTTTCAGTTTTTTGCTGCTTTCTGATGGTAACCCTCTATTTTTAGCTTAATCAAAATCATAATTTTTCAGCGTGCTGCCCATTTCCAGCCTTCTCATTTTCAGCGGTTACCAGTGTAACTAAGGAAGACTTCAAGTGTTCGGAATCGATTACAGTAACCTGTAGCTATGAGGATGAAACTGCAAAAGTTGGAATTGCTGCAAATGTGACGGATGAGGAAGGAACTAAACCTAATGTGGTTAGTATTAAGCAAATTTCAACAAAAAAACCACATTTGAAATAGGATGGTTTCGGAATCATTAAAATTTAAAAAGTTTCAGCTCAAAAGAGGCTCATCACCAGTGAAGGTTACTTTGACTTGTGATAAGGCCAGCAAGCTTTGGAAAGTGGACAAATCGTCCAAGAAATACTCAAATGTTGCATGTGTCATGAGCAACACTGGAAGTGTTTGGGTTCTTTATTGATTTCTTATTTTTCTTAAATTTGAGTGATGATAATAATAAAGTTTCTGGCATGGCAAAAAAATGAAAATTTTCGATTTTTGACAGACTTTTTTTCAATCTAAAAAAATCTTTGCAAAATTGAAATTCTGAAATATATGACAAGGAAAATTGGAAAACTCCAACAATTTTGAAATTCCGAACATTTGAAAAAATTTTAAATTCCCAAAATTCTGAAACTCCAAAACCCCAATGGTTTCAAAAAAAATCAGAAGTTGCAAGAACTCCAAAAAGTGGAATTGTCCGAAATTTCAAGGAACATCACGCGCTTTCCGGAAATTCTAAAAGTTCGAAAGTTCCGAAATTCTGACATCCCAAAATCCCGAAAAAATCTTTCCGCACACCGCTGTCTTCAAGTTCCGAGTTTTCGAATTTCAAAAAATGAGAATCCAGACTTTCAGAATTTCAAATTGGAAAATAACTCGCAAAAGTTTAGGTAATTGCAGTTTTATAAAGTTCTCAAAAAAAACGAAACCCTTTGATTCTGAAATTCCGAAAATTGGTGTTTTTAGAGTTCCGAGTATTCCTAAAGAAGTATATTCCTCACATCCCTGTCCTAATCAAAAATCTAAATAATCCGAACATTCGAATTTTTCAGGATCGCACCTTTTTGTTCTTCACATTTTTCCTGCCCCCTACAATAAAGACCCAACAGAAAATAAATCTATCCATTATTCATTCTTACACCCTTTGGCCCTTCTCTAATTCTCAATCATAGATTCCTTAGTGTCATGTTCCCTTATTTATGTTCTCCATCTCCAATCTCATATTATCAATGACCTATCTCTCCACTCTCCTCGGTTTCCCCACTATTTCCTATTTCTGCGCATACCAATTATCTACTTTGTCTCGAAACCTCTCTTCTTCCGCTTCTACATCTCATACTTCTTCTCCTTCTTTCTCTCTCTTTTCCTCTCTTTCCGCGTCAAATGTATATGCGGGCTTGTTTATTGATTCGTGCACCATAGAGAACACCCTTCCTCTCTCTCTTTCTTTTTCGTTTACCGAGAAGACCCGTATACTTTAGTGTTATACATACACACATTTTCATCTTCCTGTACTACTATGGCGTTTCGAGGACTTCCACAAACCAACGTTCGTGCGGCACAACGCAGTCCAGATTCAGATGACGATTCACCTGTTTTCAAGAAGCCCAAGCTTCCTGTCAAACCATTTCGACTTTTGGATCTTCCCATTTTGATTCGAGAAAAAGCAATGCGTTTGATAGCTCCGATAGATTTGTGAGTTTTAACTTCAAGGTTTTTTTGAAACCCATAGTATTTTTCCAGATTCGATCTATCCTTGTGCTCTCGTCGTATGACTAAGTACGTCAAAAGTCTTCGTTTGGAAGCAGAGCAACATAAAATAATAATGACGAAACATCAAATTATGATAAGTGTAAATTTTCCGGGTAGAGAAGTCATTTGGTGGGACTTCAAGCCGTTTCATGCTCGACGTATTGCTAATCAGATACGCAGAATTGGAAACGTTGTGTTCACACAGAGGTGGGTCTGAAGGTTTTTTAAAATTTAAAATTAGGAAAAAGATGTCTGAAACTAACTTGAAATATAATTTCGGAGTTAATTAGATTCTCATTATGAGCTATTTGACCCGATTTTGGCGCGGTCCACGATAAACACTCCAATAGAATGCTCGTCAACTTTGAGTCAATTTATCTCGGTTTCTGTGAAAGATATCAAAAAGTGGTAAACTGATAAAATATTTTTGATGCTATGATAAACATTTTGTCAGTTGACCACTTTTTGATATCTTCTACAGGAAATGAAATAAATGGGCTCAATGTTGACGGTTTGGAGGAGCTCTATGAGAGTGTTTACGGTAGTGTACGTATAAGGTGAATTTCTACTAATTATAGCATTCACGGGGTACCTGAAATTGGCATAACCTCAACGAAAGGATTTCAGCGAACGGGTGTCTGACGGAACGCTGAACACTGGAGAATTCTACTGTCAGTATGCTGACTATGAAAAGGGAGTTGCTGCCGTCTCGGAACAATTTCAGAAAATCTTCCCTGGTCCAAAAAGCATCATCATCAATCCATTCTCTTTCCCCGAACTCAAAACTTTGTTTTCTCATGAACATATGCAATCATTGAATAATTTGGATATTTGTGGATTTGAGCAACCGTCTATTAAGATGATGGAAGAGATTTTTGGAAAAGTGACTCTCAAGGAAAGATTGTCGATCAAACCAGTCACGGAGGGAGATTATGTCATTCAGCAGGTGAGAGTTAAATAATTGAAAGTGTAAAAACATTTTTTATAGTCTTATCCGAGCATTCTATAAAAATTTCTCTTTCCAGGCGTTCCAAGTCCAATCCTTCCTGGAACTACGGTGCGCATATTGGATGTCTCGTGAACACCTTCTCCAGATTAATTGCCGTGTCGTTGAGATCTATGACAATAAGTTTATATCAGAAGACATTGAAGCATTCGCTGCAAAATGGAAAGAGGACACATCAAAGCAATGGGAAAAGTTCTTGTTCCGTTGGGATTCCGGCCGCCCGTTTTGTTTTTACAATTTGGATGCGGAAGCTTGGGATGAAACTAAACGAGAGTCTCATTTCATCTATAAAACCAATCAAGAAACTCGACGAATTGATTGCTCAGATGGGTTCGATATGGAAAGAGAGGATGGATTATTGGCGACTTTTGTTCTCGAACAAAGAGATGAACACCAATTTTTGCACTTTTTAGTTTTCAAAGAACGGTTTCCGGAGAAGAAACGGATTGCTGAATTACCATCGAAACTTGCTCCATTCTATACACAGTTAGAGAAAATCAATAGAGAATATCATGACAATGTTGCCTTGGAGAGATTACTGTGTAATCGAAATTTGAATCATGAGGAGTTTTCGGAAACTTATCAAGTCTGGAAGAATATGTTTTTGGAACAAGGAAGAGTGAATACACAGGGACAACTGTTGAGACAAGAAGTCTTCGAGAAGATGAGAGCAATCATTGAAGCTTGATTTTGTGATATCGAAATTGTAAAAAAAGAATCTTGTATATTTGCATAAAACTGTCAACTGTTGTTTTCAAGTTCAATTATAATTTCAGAGAAAACATTTAATATTGTGCTTACTGTAGAAAGTCTTAAAAACTTGAACAAATTGTATAGAGGATACGGTAGTTTGAGCAGAACTGGCCGAGTTACGGTCATTTCAATTTTAGGGCTTTTCGTGTGTACCCAAAAATGTCAGAAAAGTTGTCCATAAATGTACTCATTTTTAACCTTCTGACAAACCAAGCATATGTATTGCAAAATTTTGAATCAAAGCTAACAAAATACGGTGATTTCGAAGCCACAAATCACCCGATATAGTTATATTTACTAATAAAAAGTGCTCCTTATTTTTAGGCCAATTTAATTGGATTTCTGTTGGCGGAATTAAACAATTTTCAATTAACAAAATGTTACAGTCTCACAAATATTTTATCAGTTTACCATTTTTTTTGTTGATACATGTTACAGTAACCAAAATGAATCAGGTAAAATTCGGCAGGTAGGAGTCTTCTATTAGCCCGTACACGGATCCCAACACTGTTAACTTTGACCCAATTTATCTCGTCAGAAATGCATCAACTGATAAATTTTTTTGATATAATGAGAAACAATTTATTAGTTGACATCCTTTTCATATCTTTGACATGATCCAAGATAAATTGGCTCAAATTTAGGGGACCCTATATTGCAGGCTTCATGGCTAGCGTAGTGTTATCTTTTGATGTTTAATGAGATGAAAATGTACTCATCGTATGCATAGACTTCCAGAAAATTCTAAAAAAATTTTATATCCTAAATTCAGCCCAAAATAAGCAACTCTATAACCAATCTCATATTAACAACCTTGGAACATTCTTTACACCAATTCGTCATGTATGGCATATCTATTTGCATATTAGTTTGTGTCGTCCTTATTCTCCACCCCACATGTCCTCTCACATGGCTTCCCGAACTTTCTCTGCGTCTCTTTTCTCTCTTCTCTCATTTCATTATTCATCCTTCTACTCCGTTCATTTTCTCCCGCACTTTTCCTTCTTTTTCTTTTCCCCTCCCTCACAAACATTAGTACTACAGCTGACCGCTCTTCTCTTCCTAGTTGCTATTCACGCTTGCATCTCTTTTACTCTTACTCTTGAAAGTGTAATTATTCACATTGATTCGGGTGGTCATAAGCTGCTAACATGAATCCTGAATTCAAACCTATACCATTTCTGAAATTCCCGGCGGTGCCACGGACTAAAATATTGCACTTGTTGGAGACTGCTGATTTGTGAGTTACTTATTTGAAATTCTGAAAATTTCAGATTGTGAATCATTGAAAAATTTTAAGCAATATCACATAGAAGATCTGAAAAGAGATTTTGACATTATTCTTAGATTCAAATTTTACGAATTCTGAAGTTAGAACATATACGGTTTCTGAAAGTATTTGAAAATTTTGAGGATTTACATTTTCTGAAATTCTATGGATTTTGAAATTTTTGCGGATTCTGATATTTTTAGGATTATTTTCTTTTCTAATTTGAAGATTATGTGATTTTACGGACACTGAAATTCTGAAATTCTGAAAATCTGAAACTCTAAAACTGAAATTCTGAAACTGAAGTTCAGAAATTCAGAAGTTCTGAGATTCTGAAATTCTGAGGTTCTGAGGTTCAAAAATTCTGAGTTTCTACGAAACCTGTAATTCTGAAATTCTGAAATTCTGAAATTCAAAAGTTCTGAATTTCAGAGTTTCAAGAATTCTGAGATTCTGCGATTTTAAAGGGGGACTCCGACCAAAAATTTTTATTGCATTAAAATGTGTTAAAAGTTATCTATTTTCCGAATATTATTGCGAAAAAATTCAAAAAAAATCCGAAATCCCCGAAAAACGGCGTTGAAAAGGAAGAAAATTCAAAAAAAGGTGCCGCCGGGGGACGAGGATTTTCAGTGAGAAACCTAGGCCACGGCAGCGGGCGCCTTTCCTACGTGGCAATTTTTCCGGATTGCAATTTTTCCGGATTTTTCAATTTCATGTCCGGCA